AAGATACGAACCACGCAAGAGGGACTTCTGGACGGTCACTACGGCAAACTTCACGAAGCAGGACTGGCTTGATTTTTGGCGACTTCCAGGAGGATCAGACGGCATGGAAGGCACCGAGCAGGATACCCAGCACCTGGAGGCCATCCCACACAACGCCGAGAAGAAGGAATATTTCGAGAACGACTTGGAGGAAAAAACAGAGGAAGACTACAACGGGATCGCCAAATGCCATAAACGAGCACGCCTACGACGAGCAGCATCACCAACGGCGGCACCAACGGATATATGGCGACTACTACTACGCCCACCGAAGGCGGAACACCAACCACGCCAGCGACGCGGCCTGGGACTTCTAGCAAAAGACGGAGAACAATTACAAACGTTACCGAAGGCCTCCTTACGAACAACGAGTGCATCAATTGCTACCAGTGCTTCACGAGCCGAAGAACAACGCAAGCGACAACTACGCGTCCACCACGAAGGTCATGCCCAACGCGTTCGCCAGCTGCAAGTGGCTTACCACGGACGCGACCAACGGCAACATCACGCAGGATCACTGAGACCACGGAGAACAACGATACCACAGGGCGACGTTCAACATCGAGTGCAAAGACAGCTTGGAAACACCTGGCCAGGAGCTGGGAGAACAAGTGGACACGGCCTCGCTCGACAGCCCCCACAACCGCGAGTGGGCCGAAGTGGCGAACTACACGGGGAGCACGTTCGACGCAGGAGCGGAGCGCGACTAACCGCATGCCGATGATAATAAAGGGACCCCCCCCTTCAGTGTTTAGAGTTGATTATCGTCGCCCTATACAAAATTCAAATTGGGCGGCGAGCGCTGAGGCCGAACTTCATTATCACCTCGAAACGCTATGTTGAGATAGCAACATCAAGCGATGTTGGTATAGCAACATCAAGCGAAGCGAACACACTTTTTTCAGGATGTGTCAAGCGAAACCAATAATTTTGGGAGGCAGGCTCAAACGAAACGAGCAATATTCTTATTATTATTATACTTTCCTCTTCTTCTTTTATATTTCTATATGTCCTCACGCTCGCCTGAACTTTTTTATCCCTGGGGTTGATTATCCATGGAAAGTGAAGCACATGAGCTACCCTACACGAGCACTTTTTTTTTAAAAAAAAAAAATCATAAAGCGCTTGTAACTTAAAACTGATAGATTTGGAACTTTGGATTTTTCCGTTCTTCGTCCTCTTCTTATTATCATATTCTTCTTCTTTCTTTTTATTCTTCTACTGTATTCTTCTTCTGTTATATTTCTCTCTGTCCCCACGCTCGCCTGAACTTTTTTTATCTCTGGGGTTGATTATCCATGGAAATTGAGGCACATGAGCTACCCTACACGAGCACTTACAAAAAAAAACAATTTTCATGAGAGATAAGCCATTGTTGAGGATATTTCTATGAAAACTAAACGCCAAGGATGTCTCAAAACGTGCTCGGCTTGGTCTCCTCTTGATTATCTCTTACTTCGAGATTATGCTGAGGTCTGCTGGGCTACTTTATAATCTCTCCCTGAACCCCGAACTTTATTATCCCCTAGTGTTTATTCTCACGGGCATGAGGTTACCTCGAGAAATACTACAAGGACGTCATATCGAGAGGCAGGGCAGAGAAGATGGCAGACAGCATCCCAATCTTCCTCGCACGCAAGAACAAGGGCAAGGGAGGGGGCACCACGGAGAAGTGCAGGCATCAGTTCCAGGCGAAATCAACGGACACGCAGCTGGAGACGACCCGCAAGATCGGGGCGGTGCCGCGCGAAGAACGAGAACTGGGACGTCTCGCCAGAACGACACGGAGAGAGGAGCAGCACAATATGATGTGCCTGAGCGGACGGCGCGGCCCTGTCCTGTCCGAGCGAGCGTGGCCCCTCAGGCCACCCCTTTTTTTCCGCACCAGTGCACGATTCCACGAGCTGGTCAGGGAAGGACGCCCTCCTCCTCCGCCTCCGACCGAGACCTTCTCCAACTCCGAGACCCGAGCTTCCCTGACTAATTTGTCGTGCGCCGACCTCCCCCGCCCCCACCCGAAGGGCAGAGGTGACGGGGCAGTAGAGGAACCAGCGAGAGGGCACCCGAAAACAGCGGGTGCTACCCTGCCCGAAGAACCCTGCGTGGGGGAGGACGGTGCAGGTAGGGCCCGAGCGTTTCAGTGGCGCCCGGGACCCCCTTTCAGAAAAGCGACCTCAGCTAGGCCACACAACTTTATTAAGCAGCACAGCGCGCAGCGAGAGTGCAGCACCGAACCGGCCCGAGAGCTCGATCGATCGATCCTCCTCCTCCTCCTCCTCCTCCTCCTCCTCCTCCTCCTCCTCCTGCTCGTCCTCTTCCTCCTCCTCGTCCTCCTCCTCCTCCTCCTTCCTCGTCCCCTTCCTCCTCTTTTTCTCTCTCCTCCTCCTCCTCCTCCTCCTCCTCCTCCTCCTCCTCCTCCTCCCCCTCCTCATCCCCCTCCTCCTCCTCCTCCTCCTCCTCCTTCTCCTCTTCCGTCCTCCTCACCATCATCGTAATCATCATCAGCATCACCATCATCATCAACAGCATCATCATCACCATCATTATCATCATCATCATCATCATCATCATCATCATCATCATCATCATCATCCTCATCATCATTATAATCCTCATCATCATCATCATCACCGTCAGCATCAACATCTTCATCCTCGTCCTCATCATCGTCCTCTTCCTCTTCCTCCTCCTATTCGTCCTCCGCCTCGTCATCCTGGCTCTGGGATTTGGCCCCGCGCGGGATTAGCCATGTTTTGAGTCTCATGCATTGAGTCATCTTTGCGCTAGCCTCTCATTCGCCCTTCTCTTCCTCCATTCTTTTTCTTCATAACACATCCCTCCCTGTCGCAACCCCGAGGCCTGTCGAAAGGGCGGGCCAGGCGTTTCGACTGAGATTTCCTCACAGTTTGCGATCCTGGAGCTCCGAAGTTGGAGCAGGTTCACGGATGGAGGTCGGGTCGTTTTCAAAATACGGTTATCGCATGTGCAAAAGTTTCACGTGTGGAGGGCGGGCCGTTTTCCAAAGGTGGCTCTCGCCTTAGCGCCGCGTTCAGCTTTTCAAAAGAAATGCAGGAGCTTCGCGGATGGTGGGCGCTTCTTTGTCAAAGTGTGGCTCTCGCATTCGCGCCGCGCACATTCGTCTGAACAGATTCAAGAGTTTCACGGATGGAAGGCGGTTCCTTTTCAGCATGAGGTTCTCCCCCTAGCGCCGCGCACATTCGTTTCAGAGTTTACAGCGGTTTCAAGGGTTCTCATCGTCAGCGTCGCAGGGAATGTGTTTTGGTACGGTGTCGGACTGTCAAGACGCAACAGTAAGGGTGATTCGTGGTGTTGAGGTCCCAGTTCTGGCACGATTCAGGACCGTCAAGACGCAACAGCAGCGGTGATTCGCGGCGTTGAAATCCAAACAAGGGTGTTTTGGCACCGTTCAGGATTTCCAACCGGTTGTTTTCCAACGGGGCATTTCTTTTAGTGCAAATGAGTCTTCGCAGGGGCCTGTGAAGAAGGAGCTTAGAGGGATGGTGTCTTGCAATGCCGTTTGTGAGTCTCGGGCATGCACTGGCCCTCCTCCTCCTCCTCCTCCTCCGCCTCCTCCGCCTCCCCCCCCCTCCCCCCCATAACAAAGAATCGAAGCCGGGGAGGCTGCTGATGGCCACCCGCTTCGAGCTCCTCGGCCTCGGCCTCGGCTGCACCTGCGCCCTGTTCCTGGGCTGCAAGGCCGCGGGGGCCGCCTGGCGGGGCCGCCGCCGCTGAGCGCGGCCGCGGCGCCCCGGGATCCGATCGGCCGGTCGCCGCCTCGTGCGTGGCGCCCGCTCGCCCGCCGGCCAAAAGCATCCACGGGCGGGTGGATAGCGACGTTCGAGGGTTTGCGGGCGCCTTCGTCGGCGCTCGTCGGGCTCGGGTCGAGGAGGAGGAGGAGGAGGAGGAGGAGGAGGAGGAGGAGGAGGAGGAGGAGGACATCGAGGAGGAGGAGGAGGAGGATCGGGGATCAATGATGAATTTCGAGGATTGAGGAGGGGAACGAGAAATGGATCGGGGATGGGGACTGAGGAGGGGATCGAGGAGAGGATCGAGGAGGAGGAGGAGGAGGAGGAGGAGAAGGAGGACGGCGTCGAGGTTCGAGGTTTTCGGGCGTCGTCGTCTGTTTCCGTCTGCTTTCCAGCCGTGGGATGCCTTCCAGCGGCTGCGCTTCGCCGAGAGCGAGCGCTCTGGGGGGGCCTGGATCGCTCCGAACGGCCGCTGGAGAGCCGAGTTATGACTCGAGAGCTGAGGGGCAAGACATGTGCGTGTGTACCATCTCTCACCTTCTCCTCCACTGGCACTGGGGTTCTCTTCGCCTCAGAGGAGAGTCCCTCTGATGATCGTCGCCATCCTTCGGATCTCGGGCGGGGTTGGCTCTCCGATCCTTCCCTCCCTCACACACAGCACGGCCAGGAGCCTGCAGACGGGGGGCCGTTGCCACTTTGGCTCGAGCCCGTCGCGGTTAAGGGCTGCAGCGAGGCCAGGCGGAGCGCGGCTGCCGAGGGGCAGGGCCGAGGCGGCGGTGGCCGTGGCGCCGCTGGCTGCTGCTGCCTCGCCGCTGGGCTCCGCGGGAGTGCGCGGGTCTCGCTGCGGCCGGGTGTCGGCGGGTGCGGTCTTGGCGAGCTCGTCCTCGTCCTCCTCGTCCTCCTCGTCCTCGTCCTCCTCCTCCTCCTCCTCCTCCTCCTCCTCCTCCTCCTCCTCCTCCTCCTCCTCCTCCTCCTCCTCCTCTCCCGCCCCCAGGTCGTCGGGAACGTCTGGACAGCGTGTCGCTCCGCCGGCTCTGGCCCACCACGCTTCGGCGCGGCACGCCATGCGCTTCCTGGTCCCCAGGCTTCAGCGTCGCGAGCCTCTCCGCGCCTCCCGCCCCGCGGAGCGGAGCGTCGCGCTAGCCGCCTGCAGGGCATCGCTTGCCGCCAGGGCCGCCGCGTCGACACGCTGAGCAAGAGCTCCCAGCCGGAGGGCCGCTGGAGTCTTGCAGCGACGGCGAGGGACGCGCTCCGCTCGTTTATCGAACCCTGCGTGTTACTTCAGCGTCTGCTGCCCCCCGCAGGCCGCGAAACGCACCGAGAGCTCCCAGTCCTCGCCGCCCGATCTTGCAGCAGCTCGCGCCATCCGCGTCTTGCCGCTCTGCACGGCGAGCGCGAAGGCGCCCCGAGAGCTCCCAGTCCTCGCCGCCCGATCTTGCAGCAGCTCGCGTCATCCGCGTGCCGCCGCTCTGCACGGCGAGCGCGAAGGCACCCCGGAGCTGGCTCGGGTCCCTGGATGACCTTCTAGAGTCCTCTTGGGCCGTCTTGGAGGCCTCTTGTGTGCCTCTGGGGCCGTCTTGGGCCGTCTTCAGGCCATCTCGGGCCGTCTTGGGTGCCTCTGGGGACGTCTAGAGACATGTTGTGGCCGCCCTGGAGGCCATATAGAGCGTCTTGGAGACCATCTTGGGGCCGTCTTGGGTGGAGCAGCCCACGCCCCGTCGATTTCCCCAAGCTTTTTGGGGTAGCCGGTGAGATCGGCCGAGACCCCCCTGGGATGTTTCTACAAGAGCCGAAGCAACCCAACGCTTGGCACGTCGTGCGCCCCTGCGAGCAGGGGCTCGGGACCGTCGAACAAAACGACCCAGGATGAGAAAGCCGGTCCCGGGGAACGGGTCGAGACCTCCGTGGTTCCACGCCATGAAAAAGTCGTGGCGTCGGGGATCTGGCGGACGGGGCTAGGACGAGGATAGATCCGAGACCAGGGCGTTACGGAACGCCCTCAGAGCGTTCCAGAACGTTCTGAGAGAAGGCCCCGGCGCCCGAGACATCCTCCAGGGCCGCCGGATCTCAGAGATTGCGAAGGCCTGACGGCCGGTGCCGCCGACCCTGCAGAGGACCACGACGTCGGCGACGAAGTGGGCGGAGACGGAGGCCGTGGAAGATGATGATGATGATGATGATGATGATGATGATGATGATGATGATGATGATGATGATGATGATGATGATGATGATGATGATGATGATGATGATGATGATGATGATGATGATGATGATGATGATGATGATGATGATGATGGTGATGGTGATGGTGATGGTGATGGTGATGGTGATGATGATGATGATGATGATGATGATGATGATGATGATGATGATGATGATGATGATGATGAGGAGGAGGAGGAGGAGGAGGAGGAGGAGGAGGAGGAGATTCTCGATCTGTCCTCGCCCGACTCTCTCCTCGTCCTGGCCTCGCCTTGGCCTGGGGCCCGCAGCGGTCGAGCGGAGCTCCGCGGGGGGCCCGCGTCGTGAGCGGGCCGCGGCGCCTGCGTGGGGGGGGGGGTGCGGTGCGGCGCGGAGCCGTCGCGCTCCGAGCGCCCAGCCTGGCCCGGGGCCCGGTCTTCTCGGCACCGCTCGGGCGTGTGCGAGGTGTCTCGGCGAGGGTTATGCTGCTCCCAGCGTGCTCAGAGACCAGCTCCCAGGAATCATGCCGCGCACCCAGAGAGGTTTAGAAGCAGTGTCGAAGGAGCACCGCCTCCCCGGGCCCGTCGCGTGCAAGCCCCTCAGTTTCGGCACGTTTTTGGTGCTCGAAATTCTTTCTGGTGGACCAGGCTGAAGTAGGTTGGAACATCATAAGACTAGGGCCGTCGAGGACGTTTTTGGACGCTTGGCGAAGCACAGCGTGCGCGGGAGCAGGGACAGGGAGGAGAGGAGAGAAAGGCCCACCACCCCGAGGTTCCCGCTAGGGACCCCCCCCTAGCCACCTCGGCCCTCGAGGGGGCGGCGAGGACCATCGAGGAGCATCATGGGTCACCATGCGAAAAAAGAAGCGCGCGAAGTCGAAGCATGCACGGGGAGTGGACGTCCGAGCGATGGCAAGGTCTCGGCCCGAAGTGGGCCGACGGAGCCTCGGTGGTGATTGACGCGCCGCCTCTCCTGGTCCTCCTCCTCCTCTTCCGGGGTCTGTCTGCGGCCCCCGGGCAAGAGCAGCTGCCTGCAACAATCGAGAGGACGCCCGTGGAGCCCGCGTTGTGGCGAAGTCTCTGCGCCCGGGGGAACGGAGCCTCGGTGGCGGTAGACGTAAGTCGGGCGTGTCCCTCTACAGGGGGAATATTCAAAAATAGTAAAAACATAGTCTGGGGACGATGTTTTGACTATTTTTGAATATTCGTTTTTTCCATATTTTTCATTTTTCGCCCAAAATCCCCCGGTAGGGGGACACGCCCGAGTTAACGGTAGACGCGCTGCCTTTCCCGGTCCTCCTCCCCCTCTGGAGCCATTTCGGCTCGAGGCCGTCTAGGCACGTGGCGGGTAGATCGAGAGGGTACGCCCCAGAGCTTCGCGAGCTGCCATGGCGATGAAGTACCTGGGCTCCTACATGCTCGCCGTGCTCGGCGGGAAGGAGAGCCCGACGGCCGAGGACGTGAAGCTCATCCTGGAGGCCGGGGGCATCGCGTGCGAGGACGAGATGCTGAACAGGCTCATCGAGCGCATGGAGGGCAAGAAGGTGCACGAGCTCATCGCCGAGGGATCCAAGAAGTTCGCTGCGTGCGGCGGTGGCGGCGGCGGCGGAGGCGGCGGCGGTGCCCCGGCAGCCGGCGGCGGCGGCGGCGGCGGCGACGCCGGAGCAGAGAAGAAGGAGGAGAAGAAGGTCGTGGAAGAGGAAGAAGAGGAAGACGTGGATTTCGACCTCTTCGGCTGAGCGGCGGGCCCCGCCCGCGCGGGCGCGAACGGCTCTGCGTCGCACCCGGCCGTCCCCGGCGCGCCCGATCTACATGCAAGCCGTCGCCATCACCACTGCTGCCATTCCTTCCGCTGCTGCTGCTGACTGCCGCTGTTGCTTCTCCCCATCCTCCCTTCCGTACGCTGTGCCTCCTCTCTCTCTCTCTCTCTTTCTCTCTCGATCTCTCTCTCTCTCTCTCTCTCTTTATGTCTTATGTGTTCTCTCTGACTCTCTCTCTCTCTCTCTATTTCTCTCTCTCTCTCTATTTCTCTCTCTCTCTCTCTCTTTAATATTTTCTTCTCTCTCTCTCTCACTCCCTCTCTCTTTCTTTTTTTTTTTCTCTCTCTCTCTCTCTCTCTCTCTCTCTCTTTAATATCAATGTATATATCTCTCTCTCTCTTTAGTATTTATTTCTCTCTCCCTCTCCCTCCTGCAGTTGTGGGTGAGAGTCCTCGTGGATTATTCTTGGTGTCTCGTCAGGGGGTTCTCGGGGGTCTCCTGGGTAGCAGTTTCAGGGGCTCTTGGAGGCCTCCTGGGGGCACCTTGGGTGCCTCTGGGGGCTCTCTCGGCGCCGCTTAGGGGGCCTCTCTTGCTCCCTCTTGGGGGGGCTCTTGGGGGCCGCTTGGGGCAGCCTGGACGCCTCCTGGGGCTGAGGGCTCGAAGGTCGGGTCGGGCGAAAGGGGGGGGGATTGGGAAAGGAGGGGTTACGAAATTTGCTGCATGCAGTTGGTTTCGGCCTCACCGAGGGGCCAATTCCTCGATACATGGCCGCTCCCGGCGCCGGGAGGCGCCGGAAGAATCAGCTACGTGAGCTGATTCTCAAACCCCCCCTTTGCTATCCCCCCTTTCGCCCGGCCCGAGAAGGGCTTGTGGAGCTTCGGAGGAGTTTTCTTGCAGGCCTCTCGAGGCCTCCTGCGGAGGCCTGGGGGGGGAGGCTCTGGGGGCGATCTGGAGGCCGAAGGCTTGTTGAGAGCTCTTCGGACGCCTGGGGGGGTCTCTGAGGGCGGTTTTGAGGCCGAACGCTCGAAATGTCCGTTGGGGCTCCCCCTCGTCGAGTCTTCCTGAAGGTGTTTTGGGGCTCTCCAGCGCCGACTTGGGAGAAACTTGGGCCGTCTTGGAGTCCCCGTGGGCAGTTTGGGAGCTCTCTTGGAGGCTTAAGGGGACGCATTGGAGCGATCTTAGGGGCTTCCTGGGCCGTCTTAGAGCGTCGGCGGCCGCAAAGGTGAGAACGCTGAAAACCTTCAGAAACAAATGGGAAATCGTTGAACTTAGCCTCTCGGGAGCTTCTTGGGAGTGGTATTGGAGGCGGTTGAAGCCGTCTGGAGGCTATCTTGGGCATCCGACCTCTGGTGACTCTGGGCCCTCTGAGACCGCCTTGGGGGCCTCTCGAGACACTCTTCAAGGCCCTGAAGGCAGCCTCCAGGAGTTCCGGCATTCCTGACCGCCTGGGACCGCCCGGGATTTGCATGAGGTATTGAATCGCTTCGCTCATTCCGCCGGCCCATTTCGCATGACTGAGCCTCTTGGGGCCGCTGGGGGGCCTCTTCAGCGTCGCTCGGGGGCCTCCTGAGGGCCTCTTGGGGGCTTTTGGGGCCTCTCAGGGGCCTCTTGAGGCCTCCTGGGGGCTTCTTAAGGCCGAGGGCTCGAAGTTTTGTTTTGTGTTCCCCCTTTGGGGCATCGCTTGGGGCCCTCTTGGGCCCCTCTTGGGCCGTCTTGGATGCCTCTGGGGCCGTCTTGGAGCCCTCTTGGGCCATCTTGGGGCCTTCTTGGGAGCTTCTTGGGCCCTCTTGGGGCGATCTTGGGGGCCTCTTGGGCCGTCTTGGGGCGTCGGGAAGCCGAAAAGATGGACACGCCAAAATCTGCCCAAAACCTAAGGAGAAGTAATGAATTTTGCCTCTTGGGGCCCTCTGGGGAGTGCTCTTGGAGGCCTCTTGGGGCGTCTGGGGGCCATCTTGGGCGTCTTGGAACGATCGTGTGGCATCTCGGAGCACTCTTGAACCATCTTGGAGGGCTCTTGGCGGCCTCGTGGCCCTTCTTGGGGCTCTCTGGAGGACCACGGGGGCGGCGCCCAGGAGGAAAACCATCTCTGACCCGACCCTGTCAGGGATCGCCCGGGGTACTTTTCGTCCGGGGACCCCCAGGGGCCGCCTCGCGCGCGCGAAGTAGAAGTATTATTTAAATTATTTAGCAGTTACCGGAGATCTTAGCACGCCTCTGGCCCGTTGGGCCAGCGAATTTATTCGCCCAGGGACCCCCAGGGGCAGCCACGCCCGCGCAAATTAAAAGTATTGTAAGTGGTTGTTACTGGAGGCGTTCGCATGCCTTTGGCCCGTTGGGTCGGCGAAAAAATGGTTCTGCACATCTATAGACATGCACATAGATGCATTATCGCGTCTTGCTTCATCGCATAGCATGCTCTCCTCTTAGACTACCTCCTCGCTTCTCTTGCAGTGCGTCTGCACATCTGTTAAGAACATGTGTATGTAGCATGCCCCTCCTCCTCTTCCTGCTCATCATCGTCACCACTGCCGTCACACTCCTCAGTGCCATCCTCCCCTCCTCCTCCTCTGTGTCCTTCTCCACCTCCTCTTTCCCCTCCTCCACATCCTCCTCCGCCTCTCCCTCCCCCACCTCCTCCTCATCCTTCCACCCCCTCCTCCCCTCCCTCCTCCACCCCGTCCTTCTCCGACCTGTCCCCCTTCTGCGGCGAGGGGCCGAGCGAGTGCGGGCGGACACGAGGATCCAGAGACTCCAGAGTGTCCCTAAACTCCCTTGAAGGGGAGGAAACAAAAATACCATACAGAGCCGGAGGGGACAACAAACACGAGCAATCGATCCGAGCCCCTACGCCTTCTGGAGGATCTGCGGTCCTGGGTGGGCGGTGGAGGGTTCTGGAGAGCCCTCCTCGGGGGTGGGCTCCTTCTGGTCTCTCCTCCCCTCCCTCCCTCTCTTCCTTCCTCCCTCCCCCCCGTGTTCCTCTCCTTCTCTCCTCTTCATCCTCCTACACTTGTCTGCCGGCGCTCCGGCTACTCCGTCTCTTGTCTTACATCTCTCTCTCTCTCTATATTTCTCCTCCACCCCTCTATCCCTCTTCACGCTTCATGCGTCCTCTTCCTCCTGCCTCGTCCTCCCACCTCTTCCTCCTACATCCTGCCTTTCGGCCTTATGAATGCGGGCGCTCGAGTCCCTTGTTGCAGCCCTAACTCCTACCTCCTCCTCCTCCTCCTCCTCCTCCTCCCTCCTCCTCCTCCTCCTCCTCCTCTCTCCTCCTCCTCCTCCTCCTCTGTCCTGCCTCCTCCTCCTTCTCCGCCTACCCTCTCCTCCTCCTCCTCCTCCTCCTCCTCCTCCTCCTCCTCCTCCTCCTCCTCCTCCTCTTCCTCCTCTTCCTCCTCTTTTACGTTCTGCACATACTGCGAAGCCCTGACTCCGGATCCGCCCTACTTTGGGGAAATTCGTAAGTAGGGCTTTGAATTTCCGCCTTACTTTTCAAGCCCCGCTGATGCCAATTTCCGCCCTACTTTTTGTTGCTGCTTCCGCCCTACTTCTGTGGATTTCCGCCCTATTTGATGTTGGGTGCAGAAATTTCCGCCCTACTTTTTCGGCTTCTTGTAGGTGGATTTCCGACGCAATTTTAAGTTGGGCAAAAAGCCAAAGTAGGGCGGATCTGGAGTCAGGGAGGCCTCACGGCCGGTGCCGCCGACGCTGGAGGCTCGCTGGCGGCATCTTCTGAGAGTCTCTTAACGACTTTTTGGAGCTTCTTGGAGAGAGGTTGTAGCCTTGAGGAGTTCGTCGTGCTGTCTTTAGAGTGTCTCGGTGTGCCTTTGTCTGATGGGTGATGGGTGGGGGGGCGTTTGGCGCTTGGGGCTGTGGGGGCGGCGGATCGGCGCGACGATCGCGTGGTGGACACAGACATCGGATCAAAGAAGACTTCGGCATCAATCATTGCCAACTGTTTTCCTTCGCATCGCGATCGCGTCTGCCGCACCGTCTCGGCGCCGGGGCAGCCATGCTTTGGCTGCGCGACGATGTGTACGCAAAAGATGATGGCGACGACTGGAGCGGCGTTTGGTGTGTGGGGCGGTGGTTTGGTGGGTGGGGCGGCGTTTGGTGGGATAGGCGTTGCTCGTGTTTCGGCTGCCTTTGGCTGTCTTGCATCCGTCCAGATGGTAGACGGAGCGCCAGAGAGCAAACCCACCAAGAGGGGCTGATTTTCATGCCCCGCGCGCGAGTGGTCTGGGGGGTGGGCCTAGACGCAGTACAGAAACCCTGCCAGACAGCCAACAGAGCACCCTCACCTGCCCCGGCGTTCTGCTGGCACCGTGGCAGACTCAGAAGGAAGAGGGCTTGGGGACGATGCCCTGCAGGAGCAGGAGGACGAGGAGGGAGGAGGAGAGAGCCCCCTTCAGCCATGCCGGAGGGGCCATGCAGGCATCCCCCTCCCTCCCGCGCTCCCTCCCTCCCTCCCGCGCTCCCTCCCTCCCGCGCTCCACCCCTCCCGCGCTCCCCCCCTCCCTCCCCCCCTCCCTCCCCCCGCGCTCCCTCCCCCTCCCGCGCTCCCTCCCTCCCTCCCCCCCCGCGCTCCCTCCCTCCGATGGGGGCTCCCTCCCTCCCTCCGTCCTCGGCCCCCGCCGCGACCGCCGCCGCGGCATGCTCGCGGCGGGGGCGGCCGCGGCGTGCGCCGCCTCCCGCCCGGCAGGCAGAAGAGAAGCCCCGGGCCCGCAGGCGTCGGGGCGCAGGGCTCTGGATGGGAGCGCGCGAACACAAAGCGCTCCCTCGGCAGCTGATCCTGGGAGCCCCCGGTGTGTCCTCGCAGCTCCGTCTTCCGAGCGCACGGGCGTGCGCTCGCGCCCGGCAGTCGACGAGGAAGCGCCGATGCAGCGCCGAGGAGCGTCGATTCGGCGTCGACTGACGTCGATGAGCGTCGGCCAGCGCCGATCGCCAAGAGTCAGCAGGATGGCATGGGAGGCTCGCATGAGTTGCCACCAACCACTCTACCGTCTTTCGGCGGCGCGCCAAGGGGGGAAGTAAGAGGGGGCAGGCCTTCTCAGAAGGCGGCGGGGCTTCTCGGAAGCCCACCCACTCCCTCTGAGGAGAGCCGTTTCTGTCTTCGGGAAAGGCCTCAGTAAGCTGATCAGAAGCCTGGAGGCCTTCGAGGCCTTCTGAGAAGGCCCACCCCCTCTGGCTTCCCGCTGAGCGTGCCGCCAAGTCTTGGCGCCTGCAGCACTTGCTCTCGGCCGGCTGCAATGGCTTCTCGTCACCTCGGCGGCTTGCTCTTTGTGCTGGCTGTGCCTGCCTGGGCACTCGCCGGCTCGAGCTCGCCAAGGAAGCCGGGCATGCCACTTTCGATCCTGCAGATGCCGGCGCTGCAGGGGTCCAGGGGCGCCAGCTGCGAAGGTCGCCCACAAGGTCTTCGAGGTCGAGCTCGATCCGTCGTTGACCAAGGAGATGGTCGAGCAGAACTTCGAAGCCGGGGGCGGCAGCATGACTGTCAGCAATATCTCCGAGGGTAGCCCGCTGTAGTCTTATAGCGCGGCACCTGCCGAGCGCCCAGGGCAGGTCGGCGATACGGTCATGGCAGTCAGCGGCGCCCGATGGACTAGCCATGCCAAGGCCTGCCAGGCGATGCACGAGATGGTGGTGGAGAGCCAGGCGCCGACCATCCAGAGGGGAAAGCCGAAGGGAGAGCTCCCTGCTGAAATAGCAATCAACGGTGCCCGATGGACTAGCAATGCCAGGGCCTTCCAGGCGATGCACAAGATGGTGGTGGAGAGCCAGACGTCGACCATCCAGAAGGGAAAGCCGGAGGGAGAGCTCCCTGCTGAAAGTCTGAAGTTGAAGTTTCAGCGGCACTAAGCGCAGCGGTCAGGACGTAAGAAGTATATGTTGACTTGCACGCGGTACCTATAGCACCAATATTGCCAACGCGGACGGCGAGGATGACACACAAAAGTTGAAGCTGAGCTCTTGATGTGCTTTGCAATAGGCTACACGTCTCAAAAGTGATTTGGGTAGGGTCGCCTGAGGAGGCGGGAGTTTGGGGTGTGAGATATGCAGCCAGAAGCCGCCGGCGTTGGCAGGTGAAGTGGGCGGCGGAGGCCACCTTGGCCTAAGCCCCCGCTCCAAGGAATATCGCCCCACGGACAGACCAATCGCCACCCCTCCCCCCGCCCCTTCCCCTTCTCCCCCCCCCTTCTCTCTTCCCCTCCCCGCCCGTGGCAGGGAGGCAGGAGGAGGGCGGGCGCCCTGGAATCAGACCAGGCCGCGGACCACCGTCCCAGAGGCCTCGCCCAACCCGACCCCTCCAGCCCGCGCCCGCCGCCGCCCCGTCCCTGAGCTGCCCCGGCCCGCCCGCCTTTGGAAGCGCAGCGCGTGCCGTGCCCAAGGCGTGCGTGCCAACACGCTGCGCGCTGGCTCGGCACGCGTCGGCACACGTCTCGGCGAGCGCGCCGCGCCAGACCTGCGTGTTCGGTCCACGTGCGGAGCTCCGTGCCAGCACGCCACGCGCTGCGCGTTGCCCGAGCTCCCATCCTGCAGGGTCGGGCTCCGACTTTGCAGGAGAGCGCGACCTCGAGAGCCTCGAGTAGCTGTGCCCACCTGGCCGCCCTTCGGGGCCAGCCCAAGCCAAGTCAACACCCTCCTGCTCCCTGCTCCCTTCACCGCCGCCGACAAGCGAGGGAGCGAGGAGGCCACTTTGGCTCAAGTCCGCCCCCGGCTGCCGCCCCGCTGCAGACCGCCCGCCGCGCTCGCCGCGACCAGCCTCCGCAGGGCACACACCTCAGGGGCAACGCTCGGGGGGGACAGGATCAGGGTGGGATTGAGGAGGAGCATCGAGGATGGAGGAGGAGGCGGAGGAGGAGGAGGCGGAGGAGGCGGAGGAGGAGGAGGAGGAGGAGGAGGAGGAGGAGGGCTAGAGGAGGAGGAGGAGGAGGAGGAGGAGGAGGAGGAGGAGGAGGAGGAGGAGGGAGGAGGAGGAGGAGGAGGAGATCGAGAAGGAGGAGGAGGAGGACGAGGAGGAGGAGGAGGAGGAGGAGGGTTGAGGATTGCGGAGAGGAGGACCGAGGGTCGAGGAGGGGATCGAGGAGGAGGAGAACGGCATCAAGGTTTGAGTCTTTCGGGCATGTTCGTCGATCCTCGGCTGTCTACCAGCCTCGGGGTGCTCTCCGGCGGCCGCGCCTCGAAGAGAGGCCGCCTGGGGTGCCTGGATCGTCCCGAACGGTCGCCGGAGGCCCGAGCTGTGGCCCGAGAACCATCGGGATGGGGATCGGCTCAGAGAGGGACGTGTCGACCCCCACCTCGCCCAGTCTCCGCCGAGGACAGCCCCCCCCGCCCAGGATGGCGCGGCTCCGCTAGAAGGGGGGGCCTATCGCCTTTCAGTCGGCGATGTATCGCCGATTCAAGATTGATGCTTGCCCCCATGAGCTGGTCCCCCCCCTTCGCAGACATCCGACGATGTATATTTTTTCAATCCGCGGCCCCAGAGGTCCAGGCCCGGCCCATTACCTCCGGTGCAACTTTTCGTCCCCGATCCATGTTTGATGATCTTGGGGCCCGATCAAGGTCCCTGGGGGCCGAAACCGACGAATAAACGCTGGGATTGACATGTTAGCCCGCGTGGGCCCCGAACAGTGAGTCATAGTATTGTGCGGGTGAAAGCTTTGCGGTGTAAACTATGTGGTGCAGGCTAGGTTGCACAAGCTATGTGGTGTAAGCCATGTAGTGTAGGATCTGTGGTGTGAGCCATGCGGTGTAAACTATATGGTGCAAGCTATACTGTGTATGCCATGCGGTGCAAGCTGTGCGCTGTAAGCTATGCAGTGTAAACTATGCGGTTAAAATTCTGACATGTAAATGATGTTTGACAAACGAGCTAACACTAGACGTGCTCTTGCAAACATCCCACCCCCACACGCAACGTGGTTTGCAAAACGCATGCTGCGGCGATTGCGATGAGCGCTTGGCGCTGGCAGGTGCCTATGTGATGTGAGCTGTGTACAGTCAAGCGAACACTGTTGGTAGTAGTATTGTCAAGCGCATGGGCACGAATCGGAGGCGTTATTGGACATGTGTCATGTTCTGAGCACCGACCGACGGCGACGACCGACCGACAAGCCAACGGATCGACTGACCGAGACGACGGCCGACGACAAAAACGATGACGACGGACCGACTGACCGACCGACCGACCGAGACGACGACGACGACCACGACTACGACGACGCCGACGACGACGACGACGGCGACGACGTGATGACGACGACGATCGACGACGACCGACCGACTGATCGACCGACACGAACCGAGGACCGACGACCGACGACCGACAGAGACGACGACGTACGACGACGAGCGAGGACGACCGACCATCCGACGTCCTGACCGACGGACCGACAAACCTCACGCGCACCAGCGCGTGCGAACTGGCCCCGCTTGGGAGCAAGGCGTGGTTACAATGCTAGGACCCCTGCCACCTGGTCCGTCCCCCCTTCCTCCGCACCTGCATCCCGAAGCCGAAAGTTTCCCTCTTGGGTTACAACTGTGACAACACCAATGGAACCAAGTGGGTCCTTTTTGGGTGTGTAACAGCTTCATGGGTAATATTTCTGTGTTGTGCGGATCTAATCACCCGTGTGTGAAAACGAATGTATACATTCAAATTGGTGGCACGAACTTATTAAGAATTATTATCCTCCTGAACCAAGAGGGAATCGGATCGTCGGGGCACTGCACGTCATGCACCATGATATCCGCGGAGCTTTGGTTTTGCAGCCACATGTTATGATTCTATGGTTTTCAAAGGGTGAAGAGAAGGGAAGAAGGGGGGACAGAGGTGGGAGGGGGATATCGGAGGACATATGAGGGAGGAGGGGGAGGGAGGAGGGAAGAGGACGAGGAGGAGGAGGAAGGAGGGAGGTGAAGGTTGGAGGCAGGAGGGGGAGAAGGCGGGAGGAGGGAGGGGGAGGACAACGAGTAGGAAGAGGACGATGAGGAGGAGAAGGGAGGAGGAGGAGGAAGAGGAGGAGGAGGAGGAGGAGGAGGAAGATGAGGAGGGGAAGAGGAGGAGGACGAAAACACGCAAAGTGTCAAAGTAAGAAGCTCGAGCGCCACAGCGGGCCCAGCCACCCCCCTAACTCCTCCCATGGCATGAGGGTGCTCGAGCGCCGCAGCGGGCCTGGCCATCACACAAGCTCCCCCAATAACATACGGATGCTTGAACGCCTCAGTGAGCCCAGCCAACTCGCGCATCCTCCCATAACATGTTGCACGCACCGAATCGAAGCGAGCGCAACATACATCCGTTCATTTGAACGGCACGGCGCTTCCGACATCTCGGGCTCAAGAGGAACATTTTTCGGCCCGCGTGAGTATTTAGATCTTTCAAACCCTAAGCGGGGTCTGGCTCCAGCGTTTTGTTATCACGGTGGTTTCCAGCGGCGCATGCCTACAAGACAGATGGGCTCCAGCACCCAATCTGCACGGGGAAAGGAACAAAGGCTCCAGCAGCCCGCGGAGTGGATTCGCCCAAGTCTACTGGGGGGCGCTGGTTCCAGCAGCTCGTGCGCCCCAGACCGACGGGCGAGCGGGCACGGGCGCCAACGCGGCGAATCTTCGGGATGCCGGATGCCCACCCGGACAGGGCGCCCGCGAGCGGGCACGAGGCGCCAGCGCGGCGATCACCCAGGAGGCCCTCCTCCTCCTCCTCCTCCTCCTCCTCCTCCTCCTCCTCCTCCTCCTCCTCCTCCTCCTCCTCCTCCTCCTCCTCCTCCTCCTCCTCCCCCTCCCTCCTCCTCCTCCTCCTCCTCCTCCTCCTCCTCCTCCTCCTCCTCCTCCTCCTCCTCCTCCTCCTCCTCCTCCTGCGCAGTGAGGCAAGCAAGGGGCCCCCGAGTGCGAGCACTGCCTGGGGAATGTGCGGTCACGTCGCCGGAGGCGCCGCCTCTGCCCAGACCTTTGCGACGTCGTGCTGCCTCGGCTTGCGCACGGTGGAGCGCCAGAGGTGTAGACCCTAGACCTGCGGAGGACGGTCCATGGAGGGGAACTATGTTGCCACACGATATCCAGGTGTCTAAAACATGTATTAAACATGTTTTAGACATGTTAAAAACCATGTTCGGGTGTCCATTGTCGTGGCATCCGCAACTCTAGGCCCCTTCCTCGCGACCCGTTTTTCACTCCGGGTCGTTTTCTGACAGTAATGGCCCTCCGGGTGCACCATACGTCGGTTGATATTGTCCGACTCGACATGGCGTCGGACGTGCACCCCAAACGATGAGAACATGTAGGCGGATGTTTGCGCCTCAGCACAGGGGGGCAGGCATTTCCACAAAGGTATGGCGGAAGCAGCGACGGCAAAGCGGGGCGGACATCGACATCATAGGAGCTTGAACAATATCGGAGGTTGATAGACCTCCTACCCTGACACGCCGATTGGCGAATTGGCCGTTTTCGGCTCGCGAGAGGGCGTCGTGGCCGCCATTTTTGCGGATCCAGGTCCGTCGGTTTCGGTCCTAGGCCGTTTCACTAAAGGGTGGTTTATGAAAGAGAGGTTTGTCCATCGCCGACAACAGGCCGGAAGTTTCCGCCGTGCTTGCGAGATCGCTCAAATTTCGGCGGATCCGGAGCCCGGGGAGAGGAGGGTGACGACGCCCACCCCCCCCACGGTTGGGAGGTTTCGGGTGGCGTGCCGCTCCGCTGGCGTTAGCCCGCCACGCTTCGGCGCGACACGCCATCCGCGTCCCAGTCCCCAGACTTCGTCGTCCCGAGCCCTTCCGAGCCCCCCGCCCCGCGGAGCGGAGCGACGCGCCGTATCCGCTTGCAGGGCATAGCCTGCCACCAGGGCCGCCGCAGCGACAGGCTGCAGGCGGCCCGGATCAGCAGGTCGACCCTGCCAGATCAAGGGTACCCTCGTGTCCCGTGTCTTGCGGCCCATGTCTCCTGCACTTCCTTGGCCACGTGGCCCTCGGAAGGGTCTTGTGTCCTCTCGTGCGCGTCCTCTCCCATCAAATCCGGCTGTAAGCAAAAGCCCCCCCCTGGCAGTTGCCCCTCGCCCCCCGAGCAGCAATGGCCGACGCCGCCGCCGCCGCGCGCGCCGTCTCGTCGGGGCGGCGCGTGCCCGGGACCATCCTCCCCGCGCCTGCGCTGACCTCGGGCGCCGCGGCCGCGAACGGGGGCTTCCCGCCGCACCTGAAGGCTCCGCCGGCTCCAACTCCAACTTCTCGCCAGCTTCCCCCTCCTCCTCCTCGCAGAAATAAAAAAAACACGAACGCTCCAACCTCCTCCTCCTCCTCCTCCTCCTCTTCCTCCTCCTCCTCCGCCTCCTCCCCCTCCACCCCCTCCTCCTACTCCTCCTCCTCCTCCTCCTCCTCTTCCTCCTCCTCCTCCTCCTCCTCCTCCTCCCCGTCACATCAGAAGTTCATTTCTTTACCTTTTGAAATGGCCCGCCTAGCGGGAGCAGCTCTCCCCTGATTCCAGGGACGACCGCTCCCACAGAGAACGACCTACATCTCTTCTCTGAATGGATATGCGTCTTCAAAGCACAGCGCAAAGTACAACATACAAAACTGTCAAGTACCCACTCTCTAAGCCCCAGCGCGCATCAAAACACATGTGGAGGCTGCGGGTGAGGAAAGAGACGCAACTTGCAGCGCGTCTGGCAATTTCTTGACTCCTTTGGGCAGCAAGCCCTTGTCAATCTGGCTGAGAGTGAGAAGTCCGTCCTTGGTTCGGCGCCTCCTCCTCCTTCTCCTCCTCCTCCTCCTCCTCATCCTCCTCCGCGCCAGGTTGAAATCTTGACGCTTCGTGTATCCACGCCAGCCCATCCACAAACGATGCGCAGGCAAGTTGTCTTGATCAGGGGAGCGGAGGGTCATGCAGTGGATCAAGAGCTGGGGAAGCCGTCAAACTGAAGTCTTGGATCAGCCTGCGCAGACCCAGGAACGAACTGTACGCACCTTCGCGGACCTGCCGAATGAGGAAAGGCGGGGAAGAAGGACGAGGGGGATGAGGGAGGAGCAGGAGAAGGAGGAGGAGGAGGAGGAGGAGGAGGAGGAGGAGGAGAAGAGGAGAAGAGGACGAGGACGAGGACGAAGACGAGGACGAGAAGGAGGAGGATGAGGAGGAGGAGGAGGAGGAGAGGATGAGGAGGAGGAGGAGGAGGAGGAGGGAGGGAGGGAGGGAGGAGGAGGAGGAGGAGGAGGGAGGGGAGGATGGAGGAGGGGGAGATTGGAGGAGGAAGTAGGGAGGAGAGTAGTAGGGGAGGAGGAGGAGGAGGAGGTGGGGGAGGGGGAGGAGGGAGGAGGGAGGGGGATAAATAGGCGGATGAAGATGAGGAGGAAGAGGAGGAGGAGGAGGAGGAGGAGGAGGAGGAGGAGGACAATGACGAGTTTGGGGGCTTCTTGGGGTGTCTTGGGGGCCTCTTGGCGGCCCCGGGTGGCCTCTTGCGTGCCTCGGGGAGCCTCTTGGGGCCTCTTGGGGGTCTCTCGGGAGCCTCTTAGAAGCTTCTTGGGCACCCCTTGGGGCCTCCTTGTTGCCTCTTCGGGCCCTCTTGGCGCCCTCTTGGGGCGCTCTTGGAATGTCTGGAGACGCTCTCGGATTAAAGAAGGGAGGAGCTTCAATTAGCCTTGCCCTTCTAGAGTGCCTAGAATCGTCTCTTGGACCCCTCTTGGAGCGCTCTTGGGGCTCTCTCAGGCCTCTTGTGGGGCTCTCTGAAGCTCTCTTGGAGCTGTGCTGAGGCCTCGGAAGGCCATCGAACGCAAAAAGACGAGAAGGCAACATTCATTGATGTTCCTGAGGCTTTGAAAAGGTTTTGGCCTCTTGGCGGCCTCCGTGAGACGCTCCGTGGCCACTTGGAAACGTCTTGGAACGGTCCCGGGGCCTCTTGGAGCATCTTGGGAGCCATCTTGAGGATCTTGGGCTTTCTTGTGCCATCGTGGAGGTCATCTTGGGCTCTCTGAGGCCCTCTTGGAGCCGTCTTGGGCCATCTTACATGCTCTGACCGCTCGCGGGGCGCCCCGTCCAGGTCCAGGGGAGAGGGGAGGGGGACGGGAAAACCTCTCCCCGAAGGGGAAAAGATGGTTGGAAGAGGAGCCTTTCTAGACCACCTATGCCCAGAGGTCTGGTGGGATTCCGTGAATCCCTCCCCGTATTCCTTTTACCTTCCAAGTATGTTCGCCCACCCTCTGCTCCTTCTTCCAACCTCCTCTTTCTCGCCAACCTCCTCCTCGCCAATCTTCCAACACTTTGTGCCTCGTGGTCTTGACCTGGGCTGCACCAGCAGTCTTTCGGGGCGTGTCTTCCGTTTTTCGCGGGAGAGGCACGCCAGCCAACGAAGCCCGAGCGTGTGCAGATGAAATGGCGGACGAGGGCAGGATCCTCACGCGCGCTGACGTGCTGGAGGGCGCTGCCGTATTTCCCGTGCAACTGGGTTTGAGTGCTCGGAGCTCCCGGTCGCCATTCCCGCCGGTAGGGCTCCGCCCATATGGCTAGGGCTGCGAAAGTCGGTACCTCCGGTCGCCTGCGGGTTCCCTCTCTGGGTCCTGCTTGTCGGGCGTCAGTGCGGAAACTCCGATTCGCCACAGGGCCCCGCACATCGGGTCCCATTCGGGATCCACGCTGGTATCATTCAGAGTCTCGGGAGCGTGGGTTTCTGGTGCCCCGTGGGCACGTTCAAATTTTGAGGGCGGCATCTGCTGCATGGCGTGCCAATTGTCTTATCAGGTTCTAGCGATTCTACTAATAAGGGGAGGAGGAGAAGGAGGAGGAGTAGTTAGGAGTGAGGAGTGAGGAGTGAGGAGGAGGAGGCGGAGGAGGAGGAGGAGGAGGAGGCGGAGGAGGAGAAGGAGGAGGAGGGACGGAGAAGGAGAGGGGTGATGGCCGGGGAGGGGGGAGGAGGAGGAGGAGGAGGAGGAGGAGGAGGAGGAGGAAGGTGGAGGAGGAGGGGGAGGAGGAGGAGGGTCGAGGACGAGTAGATCGGAGAGGAGGACGAGGAGGAGGGGAGGAGGCTGGTAGGAGGAGGAGGAGGGGGAAAAGGAGGCGGGGAGGAGGAAGAGCTTCTCGTGTCAGGTCGAAGCCCCGACGCGGCGCGACTCCATTTGGAGTTGGCGTGGCGCACGTGTCCCTGAGGCTGCCTGCTTCGGGCGCGCATCCGCTCGTCCGAGACGGGTGCACGGCACGCCTCGCCCTCTTGCCTCCACTTGCTCATGCGCTCTTTGCCGAGGCCGAAAAGAGGACGCGACCCCCCAATTCAACATCATCCCTCCTGATGGCTCCACGCGTAGGGTCGAGGCGAGATTTTGGGTGTGCCTCGAGGGAGGTGCCCAAAGGTTGTAACACCACGCCATCGCCAGGACCCCCCGATCCCGTCCTTGAGCACATGTGAGAAAGGGGGGATACAGCAGAAGGAGGGAGAAGGAAGAGGAGCAGGGATAGAGGAGGAGGAGGAGGAGGAGGAGGAGGAGGAGGAGGAGCATGAGGAGCAGGGGGAGCAGGAGGAGCAGGAGGAGTAGAGCAGGAGCAGGAGGAAAGGGAGGAGGGGAGGAGGGGGAGGAGGAGGGGAGGAGGAGGAGGAGGAGGAGGAGGAGGGGGAGGAGGAGGAGGAGGAGGAGGAGGAGGAGGAGGAGGAGGAGGAGGAGGAGGAGCAGCAGCAGAGAAGAAAAAGAGGAGGAAGAGGAGGAGGACGAGGAGGAGGAGGAGGAGTAAGGGAGTCCAGGAGTCGGGAGGAGTGGTGATGAGGAGAACCCCCCCTACCGACCCCGTCCCCGCTGGGGGCGTTGAACGCTTCTCGCTTGAGCTTTCGGAGGTGATCCGTCAGCTGGGGTCCGGCTCGTACGGCACCGTGCACCTGTGCGAGGACAGGAACACCGGGAAGCAGGTTGCCGTGAAGCACGTCAAGAAGGCCTGGTTTTCAATGCCTCCCTGAGCTTTGTAATTTGAGGTGTTTCGTATTCTTCTTATCATGATTATGGTTCTTATTACTGTCCACGTCGTTGTCTTCGTCTTCGTTCTCCTCCTCTTCCTCCCTGGGTCCGGCTTGGAGCCCTCTTGGGGAAGTCTTGGGCGGTCTTCCTCCTCCTCCTCCCTCCTCCTCCTCCTCCTCCTCCTCCTCCTCCTCCTCCTCCTCTTCCCTCTCCTCGTCCTGCCCCCCCTCATTCTCCTGTTTCCTCATCCCTCTTTCCATTCCTTTTCCTTATAGATAACTTCTCCGTGTCGCACCTCGATATTAGTTTTTAGGACGAACCGGGCGTTTCGTCTGAGACTTCCTCATCACTTATGACCCTGAAGTTTCAATGTTGACAACAGTTTAACATATGGAGGGCGGGTCGTTTTCAAACTGTGGCTATCGCCTTAGCGCCGTGCGCACTTGTTCTAAACATTTGCAAGAGCTGCACGGATTGAGGGCGGTTCCTTTTCAACATGTTGTTCTCGCCTTAGCGCCGCGCACATTCGTTCTAAAAATTCGCAAGAGCTTCACGGATTGAGGGCGGTTCCTTTTCAACATGTGGCTCTCGCCTGAGAGCCGCGCACATTCGTTCTAAAAATTCGCAAGACTTTCACGGATTGAGGGCGGTTCCTTTAATTCGCAAGAGTTTCACGGATTCCCATGATCTGCGTACCAGAAATGGCGTTTTCGAAGGACTCAGGATTTTGAGGGTGCAACAGTTTCGTTGGTTCGCGGTGTTGAAGTCCCAGGAATGGCGTTCTCTCACGATTCAGGATCGTCAAGACGCAACAGTCAGGTTGATCCTTGGCGTTGGAATCCAGAGAAAGATGTTTTGGCATGCGTCAGGGTCATCAAACGGTTGCTTTCCAACGAGGCAGTTCCCTCAGTGGAAATGAGGCCTAGTAGGGCCTATGAAGAGGGAGCTGACATCGTTGATGGCTTTTGGGTTTATACTGGTCCTGGTCCTCCTCCTCCTTCTCCTCCTCCTCTTCTTCCTCCTCCTCCTCCTCCTGCGCACTCTTCTCGATGTGATCGTGCCTCCTCCTCCTCCTCCTCCTCCTCCTTCTCCTCCTCCTCTTCCACATCCTCCTCCTCCTCTTCCTCAGTCTCCCCCTCCCTGCTCAATCTTCCTCCACGTCACCAGATATGCCCCCTCCTTTCCTGCATACAGCATGCATCCTGGTGCCGGTGCCCGAGGAGGAAGAGGATAGGATGACGATATGGTGGAGGATGAGGAGCAGGAAAAGTAGGAGGAGGAACAGAAGGAGGAGCATGGCGAGGGCACGACGATGAGGAGGAGGAGGTGGTGGCGGTGGTGGAGGATGAGAAGCTGCAGCTCAGGAGGAGCAGAAGGTGGAGGAGGAGGAAGCTGAGAGGAGGGCAGGATGGAGAATGAGGAAGACGATGCGAGGGCAAGAGGAGGAGGAGGAGGAGGAGGAGGAGGAGGAGGAGGAGGAGGAGGAAGCGACCTTGCTGGCTGCCCTTGCCCCTGCCCCCTGCAGAACCTCTGCCCGCGTGGCCACACGCCCGGCGCCGTTGCGCCAGAGAGCCGGGCCCAGCTCCACCCCCGCAGGGGAGTGCGCCGAGGCCTTCCGGGGCCGATCGCGGCCGAGACCACGGCGGCTCTCCCTCGCTGTCCTCGTCGTCGTCGTCGTCGTCGTCGTCGTCGTCGTCGTCGTCGTCGTCGGCGTCGGCGTCGTCGTCGTCGTCGTCTTCGTCGTCGTGCTCGTTGTCCACTCGGCCTCGCCCTCGCACCCAGGCGCTCACGGCCAGGCACTCGCCGCGGGGCGTCCCACGAGGTGGGGCGCACACGTGGGGATCTCTCCGCGTCGAGCCGCGCTTGCCTCGCGGAGGGCTCTCGCCGCCGCGGCCGCCCCCGCCCCGAGAAGCGGGCCGGGATGGGCCCCGGATCGCGAAGGTTGGCAGAGGAGCTTCTCGGAGCAGCAGCCTGGGCCTCCCAGATGGGGTCGGAGCAGATGGGTTGGAGGGTCACCCCGCATCGCCGATGCATCGGCGATGCGGCTCGATGTGGAGCCCGCTTTTCTCCACGCCGTCGTCGCCGATGCGTCGCCGATGCGTCGCCGATGCATCGCCGATGCGGCGCGATCCTCCGACCCCATCTATTCGGACCCCATCGAGGAGGCCTCTGAGCTCCGAGCAGAGCAGCTGCAGAGGGATGCCGAGGTCTCGATCACAGCTCGAGCAGCGGGTCGAACTCAGTTGCAGAGGGATGCCGAGGCTTCGATCACAGCTCGAGCAGCGGGCCGACCTCAGGGCCCTGGGGAGTGGCAGAGCGAAGCTGCTGGTCGCCCCCGCGCCCACGACACGGGCGAGCGCTCAGACCTCGCCCCGAAGCGCTCGCCGAGACGACGGCGGCCCTCCCTGGCGCCTTGCTCGCCTCGCTCTCGCTTTTGCCTCGCGGCGGCCTCCCGGGCCGCCGCGGCCGCCCCCGCCTCGCGAAGCGGGCCAGGGAGGCACCCCGGGAGGGGTCGTTCTGGGCGGTCGAGACGGCGGCGGCCCTCCCCGCGGGCGCTCTGCCCGCTCCTCCTTCGGGCCTCCAAATGGGGGCCGCCGGGCCGCCGCGGCCGCCCCCGCCCCGAGAATTAAGCGGGCCAGGAGGCACCCCGGGATCGGGCGAAGAGGAGTGTGCACATTGCACCGACCCTGGCCAGGCCCGTCCTGGGCCCAGGGTCGGTGCGTGTGCTGTCCTGGCCAGGGCGCAGGAGGACGTGTGTGCACCGATCCTGGGCTCAGGACGGGCCTGGCCAGGATCGGTGCATGGCCGATTCTGAACGGAGGCGGAGGAGGAGGAGGAGGAGGAGGAGGAGGAGGAGGAGGAGGAGGAGGAGGTGGAGGAGGAGGAGGAGGAGGAGAAGGAGCTGGAGGATCAACGCCAGGATCGGTGCATAGTTTTCTCTCCTCTATGGGAGGGGCATATGGCCGATCCTGAGCGGAGATGGGCGGCGCGGGAGGGCCGCCGCGCTGTCTCCACTCGCCCTCCGAGCCGAGTCTCGATTTCCGCTATGCGCGCCGCCCCGCGGCGCCCCGCCTTGCTGCAGCGGTCTGCGAGCCGCATCGAGCTGCGATGGCCCTGGGGCCGGACCTCCGACGAAGGCATCTATACACCACCACCGTGTCAGGCCAGGGCCATCCTGGGCCCCAGGATGGTGTATAGATCCTCCTGACCTCGGCCAGGAGGGCGTATACACTATGCCAGGACCAGGATGGCCCTGGCATGGCACGATGGTGGTGTATAGATGCCTTCAGGGCTGGACCTCCGGCGCGACAGCGCCTGGCCCGATGAAACTGGGGCGCCAGGACCTAGCCAGGATGGAGCAGCATTTGCCCCTGGGGAGACCCTGATTCCGGATCCGCCCCACTTTGGGGAAATTCGTAAGTAGGGCTTGGAATTCGCGCCTTACTTTTCAAGCCCCGCTGATGCCAATTTCCGCCCTACTTTTCTGTTGCTGTTTCCGCCCTACTTCTGTGGATTTCCGCCCTATTTTATGTTGGGTGCAGAAATTTCCGCCCTACTTTTTCGGCTTCTTACAGGTGGATTTCCGACGCGATTTAAAGTTGGAAAAAAGCCAAAGTAGGGCGGATCTGGAGTCAGGGGAAGGCGTGGCTGGGGTCCAGCACCGGTTTCCCTCAGCAGCCGCCGGCCTCCCCAGACCCCCGACGTCGTGATTTTTTTTCGCAGCGTCGACCCCCAGAGGTCTGGACCCCTTCCCCGAGGACCGCTTTTCCCACCCCGAGTCCTTTTCCGACGGCCCCGAGGCCCGGGAAGGGCCCTCGGAGGCCGCAGATGGCGCAAATAATCTCCCGTCGCGTGTTTGCTTCACGGCGCGAGGAGGTCTATGGGTCGACCTCCCCTGCCCGCATACGGGCCAGGGTGGCGACGAATCCGGCCGCCGCCGCGCCGCGGAGGGCCCGCCCCCCCCGAGCGCGCGGGCCGGGTGTCCGGCAGGCTCCCGTGTGGCCCTTCTTCTTGTGCGGCCCGGGGGGCCGGCCTGGCGATGCCCTGCCCCGGTGGGCCGCAGGAACTGCAGGGAGGGAGGGGGTTGCCCGGGGGGGGGCCCTCCCCTGGCTCCGGATCCGCCCTACTTTGGGGAAATTCGCAAGTAGGGCTTGGAATTTCCGCCTTGCTTTTCAAGCTCCGCTGATGCCAATTTCCGCCCCACTTTTCTGTGGCTGCTTCCGCCCTACTTCTGTGGATTTCCGCCCTATTTCATGTTGGGTGCAGAAATATCCGCCCTACTTTTTCGGCCTCTATATAGGTGGATTTCCGACACAATTCTATTTTGGAAAAAAGCCAAAGTAGGGCGGATCTGGAGTCAGGGTCCCCTGAGATCCTGGCGCTGCAACTTACTTTTTCGCGACGGGCGGTTTCGCTCCGCTTCGGGCCCCGGGACCCTCACAGATCGATCCGGCTCGGCAAATAACGCTGAAGGATGGGGTCCAGGGCTCCGGTCGGGCAATGTCGGGTCTCAGGGTCTGGCCTTTTCCAATGCCGGCTTTTCCACCGGACCCGTGTTTTGATTGTCTTGGGGCCCGGCGAGGGCGGCTGAGATTGCCAGCAGCCGTGCGTCGCGCTTTGTCGCGACGCGAGCGTGTCCGGGATTGCCCCCTTGTGGGCCAGACAGCCCTGAGTCCAGGTCCGCCGTACTTTGGCTGCTTTTCCAAGTTTAAGAATCGTGTCGGACATGCACTCCGAACTATGCGAAAAGGCAAGGCGGATATTTCCGCCTCAGAAAAATAGGGCGGATACTTCCGCAAAGGAAGGGCGGAAACAGCGACGGCAAGGTAGGGCAGAAATTGACATCAGAGGCGCTTGTAAAGTAGGGCGGGAGGTCCCGCCCTGCCTACGGAATCGCTCATGGTACGGCGGTTCCGGAGTCGGCGAACGCGACGCGAGCATGTCTCGGCCACGCGCAGAGGGGGGTGGGGGGAGCGGGGAGGGCTTCTCAGAAGCCCCCCCTGCTTCTTAGTAGGCGCGGGGTAAGGCCGGCGCCTTCTAAGAAGCAGCCTCCTTCGAAGGCGCCCTCCCCCCTCGCCCTACCCCCTTGTGCGCGCCGCCGAAAGACAGGCCCCGTCCCACGGCAAGAGCATGCTGCGGGAGATCCGGCTCCTGGCCCGCCTGCGGCACGACAACCTGCTGCACCTGCTGGACCTCCCCGCGGTGTCCTCGGCGAACTTCGAGGACATCTACCTGGTGCTGCCCTACATGCCCTCGGACCTGCACAAGGCCCCCCGTCGAACCCTTAAAACCTGGCGTGGCGATTTGTCTCACGCCGGGCGTTGTCTCTGGGGTCTGGCCCGCGGACCTCCACAGATCGACTGGGCTCGAAAAATGCAGCAGGAAGTTTGGGCCTGAGATGCCAGTCCTGATGTCTCGCAGTGTTGCACTTTGTTGCATCGGCGGATCAAAGGGGAATTTCAGTGCGCGGTTGCAGACAGGCGGGGAGAGTCTAGGAGCCCGGAGGAGCCTTCCAGAGATCTCTGCTAAACGGGGCGCTCCCAGAAAGCACCCCCTGCCGCTTCGCCGAAGGGTATCCCCAGGAACTCCTACCGATGAAGGGGACGATGGGGTACCGATCCGCTACTCCCTGGAACCCTCCTGGGGTGCGTTCTGGCCCGACTCTTGAGATGAATCCAGCCGTGGCGACGAGAGCTCTCCAGGACGAGCAGCGGTATCGGTACCCTTTCCTCTGACGATGCGCCTGGCGTTTCCTGGCCCCTCCGAAGGGCATCCACTCCGATCCTCCACCTGCTCCTCATCTCGCGCCGTGCCCGTTCTGAGCTTCTCTGATTTGCTGTGGGCTGCCTCTGCCAATGCGCGATCCTGCTCCTCATCCCTCTCTTCCCCCGCGAACGGGGCTTGCCCCAAGCGGTGACGCGCCACGCGGCTGGGGTAGCCGCCGTTTACGCAACCCTGGTGGCTCCCTACCTGGCCTCGGCTAGCTGCAGATCCATTTGGCCTGCGTTCCCTCGCCAAGGTCATCCACTCCAAGCACCAGAGCCTGAGCGACAAGCACGTGCAGGTCATCATCACGCAGATCCTCAGGGCGCTGGGCCACCTGCACGCTGCTGGCGTGGCCCACAGGGACCTCAAGCCCGCGAACGTACTGATCACGCACGACTGCAAGGCGAGGAGGAGGAGGAGCAGGAGGAGGAGGAGGAGGAGGAGGAGGCGGAGGAGGAGGAGGAGCATGACGAAGGAGCAGGAGGAGAAGGAGGAGGAGGAGGAGGAGCCTTGCAAAGGTAAGGCTGGCACTGTGTGGAAGGCCTGCTCCTTGGGCCTTCTGCAGCAAGGGAAGGGCCCCTCGAGCGTCGGGTCAGAGGTCCGCTCAGGCGAAGGTAGCCGGGCAGGCGGCAGAGCGAGCGTCTGAGGAGGAGGAGGAGGAGGAGGAGGAGGAGAGGGAGGAGGAGTGGGACCACACGACTGCAAGGTGAAGATCTGCGACTTCGGGCTGGCGCGGGGCGACATGCAGCTCGACGCGGAGGGCGATGAGCCCGACCAGGCGAGCGGGGTGCTCACGGAGTACGTGGTGACGCGGTGGTACCGGGCGCCGGAGGTCAATGAGGCGGAGGAGGAAGGAGGATGAGGAGAACGAGGAGGAAGGAGGGTGGGACGGAGGTAGAGGGGGAGTGAGGGAGGGAGGGAAGGTCGGGGGAGGGATGATGACGATGATGATGATGATGATGATGATGATGATGATGATGATGATGATGATGGTGGTGGTGGTGGTGGTGGTGGTGGTGGTGGTGATGATGATGATGGTGGTGATGATGATGACAGTTGTGGTGGTGGTGAAGATCATGGTGATGATGGTGATGATGATGGTGGTGGTGTTGAATGAATGAGATGGCTAGGATGGCAGATGGCGATGTCGATGGATGATGGTGAAGCGGATGTTGATGAGATTGTGATGATGGATGAATGGGAAATGATGAATGGGTGTCGATGAAAAGCAATTGATTGGTGATGACGATGCTGATTTTGGCGAAGGTGATGATGATATTGGTGGTGATGATGATGGCGGTGATGATGGTGATGATGATGATGATGGTGGTGATGATGATGGTGGTGATGATGATGGTAGTGATGATGATGGTGATGATGATGGTGATGGTAATGATGATGATGGTGATGGTCATGCTGCTGATTCTGATGGTGGTGGTGATGATTAAGACGATGATGGTGGTGGGCATGATAAGGGTGATGATGATGGTGATGATAATGGTGGTGGTGATGATAGTGATGATGGTGCTGGTGAGAATGGTAATGATAATGATGCTGATGTTGATGGTGATGATGATGATGATGGTGGTGATGATGATGAAGATGATGATGGTGGTGATGGTGATGATGCTGACCATGATGGTGACGATGGTGATGATGATGGTTATGCTGTAAATGATGATGATGATGGTGGCGGCGGTGATGATGATGCTAGTGGTGGTGATGATGATGTTGATGATGGTGATGATGATAGTGATGATGATGATTGTGCTGGTGATGCTGATGATGATGGTGATGAGGATGGTTGTGATGATGGTGATGGTGATGGTGATGACGGTGATGATGATGGTCGTGGTGATTATGATGATAATGATGATGATGATGATGATGATGATGATGATGATGATGATGATGGTGATGGTGATGATGACGATGATGGTTGTGATGAAACTGATGGTGGTGATGATGATGAGGATAATGATGATGGTGGTGGTGCTGATAGTGATGATGGTGATGACGGTGATTATACTGACGTTGATTGTGGATATGATGAGTATGATGATGGTGATGGGGATGGTGGTGTTGGTGATGGTGATGATCATGGTAATTCTGATGATGGTGGTGGTGGTGATCATGCTGACGACGATAGGGGCTGATGATGGTTGTGGTATTCAGCTTGCTTGTGATGATGATGATGGTGATGTTGACGAGGACGACGATAATGATGAGTGTTGTGCTGGTGGTAGTCGTGATGATCTTGATCATGACGATGCTTATGCTGCTGCTGATGGCGATGCGGATTCCGACGATGATGATGGTAATAATGATGATGTTGATGATGGTGGTGTCGGTGGTGGTGATGATGATGATGAGCATCATGATGATGCCTCTGCTGCTGCCGCTGCTGATGGTGATGATGCTGCTGACGATAGTGATAAAGGTGATCATGATGATGATGATGCTGCTTGTGGTAATCGTGGTTGTGATGACGATGCTGCGGATGATGATGGTGTTGGTGTTGGTGGTGGTGGCAGTGGGGGTGATGATGAGGATGAGGATAATGATGGGGATGGTGTTGCTGCTGCTGTTGATGATTATGATGATGCTGAGCATGGTGATGGTGCTGATGATGATTAGATGGTGATGGTGATGAGATGTAGGCGGAGGAGGAGGACAAGGATTACGATGACGACGACGACGGCGAGGCGGAGAAGGCGGAAGGAGAAGAAGGAGGAGGATAAGGAGGAGGAGGAGGAGGCGGAGTGGGGTGTGGCAGCGGGCGCTAGAGGTCATGCTACTTCCCAAGCAGTACACCTCCGCCGTGGACGTCTGGTCCGTCGGGTGCATCTTGGGCGAGATCCTGATGCGCAAGGCGATGTTCCCGGGGAAAAACCACGTCGACATGGTCTGCAAGTTCGCGGAGACCCTCGGCAAGCCCACGGAGGAGGAGCTCGATTGGCTCCCACACGACACCGACGCCTACCGCTTCGTCAAGAAGGCTTGCCCCCCGAGTGTTGGTGGGGGGGGCTGGAGGAAGAGGAGGGCCGTCAAGGGAACCAAATATCCGCAGCTCGAAGCTCGAAGGGTGACGAGGAGGAGGAGGAGGAGGGGAGTGGGCTGGGAGGAGGAGGAGGAGGAGGACGACGAGGAGTGGGATGGGAGGATGAGGAGGAGGACCAGTGTAAACCCAAGACGCGTCAACAATGTTGCAGTACACCCTCCCTCCAAGCTCCCTCTTCACAGGTCCCTAACAGAATTCATTTTCACTGCTGGAAATGCCTTTTCGGAGGGCAGCCGTCAGAGGATCGCCAACCGTGTCAAAGCACCACTCCTTGGATTTCAACGCCGCGAATCAATTTTACGATTACGTCGTGACGATCCTGCATCATGCCAAAACACCGCTCCTGGACTGCAACACAATCAACCTAATTGTTGCGCCCAGGCAATCCTAAGCCGCGCCAGAACTCTAGCCCTGGGCAGTCAACCGTAAGAATACGTTGACTTGTCGGAGACTAAAAAAAACGAAGGTGCGCGGCACGGAAGCGAGGGCCACATTTTGAAAAAGAACCCTCCTCCATCCGGGAAGCTCTTGTAAACTTCAAAGGCGAATGTGCGCGGCGCTGAGGCGAGAACCACGCTTGGAAAACCACCCGCCCTCCACCTGTAAAACTTGCAAGCTTGTGAGACGAATGTGCGCGGCACTTAGGCGAGAGCCACAGTTTGATAGGACCCCCCCTCCAATCGTGAAACGTTTGCAAATTCTATGCCTCAGGATCATGACCTGTAACGTAGCCTCAGGCGACACGCCCCTCCCGCCCTGCCGACACGGTTCGGAGCGCGACAGGGATGAGTTTCTTCAGCAAGAAAGGGATGAGGCAGGAGAGGGACGAGGTGGAGGAGGAGTGGGATGGGATGAAGAGGTGGAGGAGGAGAAGGGGGAGGAGGAGGAGGAGGAGGAGGAGGAGGAGGAGGAGTGTAAACCCAAGACGCATCAACGATGTTGTAATCTTGTGGAGGACGATCAATGGAGAGGAAGCATGTTGCCCAATATGTCCCAGATGTCTAAAAATGTGTTAACCATGCTTTACACATATAAAACAAGCGTGCTCAAGCCATGTTTAGAACATTATCCGACGCTTTAATCACAGCTTAAACTCAAGGATAGGACTGTTAGGGTTTCCATTGTCGTGGCATCCAAAATTGTAATCAACCCTCCTGTCCAGTCCCTCTCCATCGGCCCCTACTATTTTTCATCCGTGCGGGCCGTGCCCCATTGAAAGGCAACGAACTGTCTGAGAATCGTCACTCCTGCAAACTATGGGATTTCATAGCCGCGAATCAATGTGAATGCTGCGTACTGACAATCTTTGATCGTGCCTGAACATTGTTCTTGGGACGTCAACTCCGCGAATCAACGTGAGTGCTGCGTCCTGGCAATCTTGATTCGCCCTGGAACACAGCGCGTGGGACTTCAACCGTACGACTCCGCGAACATGCTGCACACGTTTAGGACTAATGTGCGCGGCGCTACGGCGATAGCCACAGTTTGGAAAAGAGCTGCCCTCCACCGTTGAAGCTGCTGCAGCGCTGCCGTTGCCGCGTGTTTTGCTTGCCCGCGGCAGCATCGCCGCATCTGAAGATTGAACGGGATTTCTCGGAGTTCCTTTTTTTTCACGTCCGTTCCGCCGTCGCTCTGGCCACTCTTCTGGAGGGCCGTCGAGGCTTCTGGGATCTCCGACGCCGCCTCCCGGGGCCAGGCACGGCCCCCGTTTGGCGCGCGCCAGCCGCGCCAGCTCCTGCAGCCGGCAGCGCAGCCACTCCGCCGCGGCCGCCCGTCTGGTCGGAGCTCTTCTTAGGCGGCGGGCGCACTGGCGCCACAGTGACCTCCTGGAACTGCTCCGTCCGTCACCACCCACCAAACCACCCCAACCCGACCCGAAGGCTTCAATGTGCTCTCCATTTCCAGTAGGGGGGGGTCGGGGCACATTGAACAAGTGCATATGGGACACGTACCCCCCCCAACCCGGAATTCGGGTATTCGGGTTGTGTTGGGGTGGTCTGGTAGGCAGTCAGTCTGGAAGTGGCCCTGCCTCCTCTCCAGGTCGCAGTCCGCGAAGCCGTGGTAGCGGTTCAAGTCGCTCTCGTGGGTCTTCGCGGCGCTCCTCCAGTGCGCGTCGACCACCTCCTGCGCGGCGTCGCCCGCGGGGTTGCCGGGCCACTCGAAGGGGGGCAGCCGCGCAGCCTTGCGGGATGTCCAGCGGCCAGCGCTGGAGCTTCGCCAACTGCATCGCCCTGTAGGCTGGAGCTTGCTCGCCCAGCCAGCAGGAGACGGGGAAAAGATGGCTGCATCTGGCACGCCTGGCCAGGTCCTTCTCGGCCGTCGCGTGCTCCGGCTGCGCCAGCCTCCGCGACGCGATGGAGTAGTCGCGGGTGCTGGCCTCTCTGTTAGGCACCTTGCACGTGCCTTCGCTCGGTCGGACGATGACGATCGCACCTGTCTCCTCCAGGCGCTCGGGGTCTATGTTGAAGTCACCCCCCGAGAGCCCACTGCATTGCCGCGGCGTCCGCCAGCGCACCACAGGCCGCCAGCACCGCCAGGTTCCTGACCGTCGGGCCCTCCGAGCGCCACTGGGAGCACGAGCCGTGGGGATCCCGCCAGGCTCGCTGACGTCGACCCGTGCCGCTGCCAGGCGGCCTGGGCTCTCAGGCGGCGACGTGCCCCAGAGGTCCCGCAGGCTGCCGCCCGCGGAACTCGTGGCGATGTGCCTGGGCACTGCTGTGGTTGTGCCCGCACTCCAGCCTCTGTTCTCAGTGCGCATGCTGGGGACCTCCGCTGGCTTCCACCCCTGCTTTGCCACGCGCTGCGACCACTCGCCCGAGTCGGCCTTGCCCATGGACAGCTCTTGGCCTAGCACTAGCACCACGGCCTTGGTGTTCGCGAGCCCCAGCACGCGTTCCAAGGACTTGGCTGTGGTTGCATTGGCTATGATAATATGTTGCTTGCCCAGGAGCTGCGGGACGTCAAAGAGACAGCACGCGCAGCTGCATGGTGAAGCGATGCTGCAGATCAGCAACCACCGAAGCCATGGCGGCAGCGTGCTTTTTTCCGCCTCCTCGGCTGTGCAGCGCGGCAGGAGGAGTTGATTGACCTGCTCGGCGGTGGCCTTGGCGGGGATGGCGACCGTGCGCGTTTTCCCGTCGCCTCCCTCGGCGGCGGCGGCGGCGCCGCCGCGCTTGCGAGAGGTGGAGCACTGGCGGTGCTGGACCTCTGCGGCCTCCGCGTGCGCCTGATGCGCCGCTTGACCAACGCGAGGGCGTCGGCGACCGCCTCCCGCTTGGCATTGACCTCCACGTCCGCGGAACCCATGGTCTGCAGCATCGACGCCTCCTGCTGCAGGTGGTGGGTTGCCTTGGCCCACTTCCCATGCGCATCAGGGGAAGAGGAGGAGGAGGAGGAGGAGGAGGAGGAGGAGGAGGAGGAGCAGGAGGAGGAGGAAGAGGAGGAGGAGGAGGAAGAGGAGGACGAGGAGCAGCTGTGTCTTCTTCACCTCCAGTTCCTGGATGTGCCTCTCCGCCCTCCAGAGGAATATTCTGCTCTTTCCCTAGCTCCTCGTGGGTGTCGGCGGCCTTCTCGTTGAGGGGCTCGATCTTCTCGAAGCGGTCCCTCGCCGGCTCCGCCTTGCGGCGGCCCCTCTCCGCCTGTGCCTGCGTGAAGCGTCTCGGAAGGGTCTGCTCCTTCTGGGCCTCCAGGCGGCGGACCTCCTCCTGCACTTTGTCCGCTGCCTCGCCGAGGAGAGATGTGCCGGTCTTCGGTGGCTGGCGCGCGCAGGTTGCGCTCGCGACCCCGAAGAGTCGCCAGCTCCTTGTTCGCCTCCTCGCGGGCGTCCGTGTCCGACGCCGGCCCACTCCCTGGGCCCAGGGGAGGTGGCCCCGCAGGTGGCGACTTTCCTCCTCCTCCTCCTCCTCCTCCTCCTCCTCCTCCTCCTCCTCCTTCTCCTCCTCCTCCTCCTCCTCCTCCTCCTCACTCCTCCTCCTCCTCCTCCTCCTCCTCCCCATCTTCCTCTTCCTCCTCCTCTCCTCCTCCTTCCTCCTCACTCCTCCTCCTCCTCCTCCTCCTCCTCCTCCTCCTCCTCCTCCTCCTCCTCCTCCTCCTCCTCCTCCCTCCTCCTCCTTTCCTCCTCCTCCCCTCCTCCTCCTCCTCCTCCTCCTCCTCCCCCTCCTCCTCACTCCTCCTCCTCCTCCTCACTCCTCCTCACTCCTCTCCCTCCTCCTCCTCCTCTCCTCCCCTCCTCCTCCTCCTCCTCCTCCTCCTTCCTCCTCCTCCTCCTCCTCCTCTCCTCCTCCTCCTCCTCCTCCTCCCCTCCTCCTCTCCTCTCTCCTCCTCCTCCGCTCCTCCTCCTCCTCCTCCTCCTCCTCCTCCTCCTCCTCCTCCTCTCCTCCTCCTCTCCTCACTCCTCACTTCCTCCTCCTCCTCCTCCTCCTCCTCCTCCTCCTCCTCCTCCTCCTCCTCCTCCTCACTCCTCCTCCTCCTCCTCCTCCTCCTCCCCCACTCCTCCACCTCCTCCTCCTCCTCCTCCTCCTCCTCCTCCTCCTCCTCCTCCTTCTCCTGCGGGCGTCCGTGTCCGACGCCGGTTGCTGCTACTGGTCGTCAGGTTTCGTTCACTGCAGTCCTGGCGGGTGCTGCCGCCGCCCTTACCAGGCCGCCCTTCCCAGCATTTCAAAGCATCGCTTGTGCTTGGCCCAGCACCCCTTCGTGCCACATGTGGCGCAGTCCCAGGTGGCATGGCTTGACATCTCTGGCTCGGGAGAGCAATGTCATTTCGAGAAGGAGGAGTTGGAGGAGGGAGAGAAGGGGGAGTAGTTGAAGGAGGGTGGAGGCAGAGGAAGAGGAGGAGGGGGAGGAGGAGAAGGAGGAGGAGAAGGAGGAGGAAGAGGAGGAGGAGGAAGAGGGTGAGGAGGAGGAGGAGGAGTGAGGAGGAGGAGGAGGAGAGGAGGAGGAGGAGGAAGAGGAGGAGGAGGAGGAGGAGGAGGAGGACGAGGCGAGCGCAGTGGGAGGAGTGGGAGGACGAGGGGGGGAGGGAGGAAGAAGGACCGGGAGCAGGGGGAGGATCGGAGGAGCTTCAGGAGCCAGGTCTGCCCCCCGAGCGCCGGGGTGTCCCTGTCCGCCCTCATGCCGGGCAGCTCCAGCGCGTGCCGGGGCCTCCTGCGCGCCCTCCTCCGCTGGCACCCGCAGCAGCGGCTGACGGCCGCCCAGGCGCAGGATCGGCCTCCAGCGCTCGTCGGCGACGCGCCGCGGTGGGGAGTTCCCAGGCTCAAGCAGAGGCGAAGCATCCCGTTTTGCCTAGTTAGGCCCAGCAGAGAATGCTCTGAGAACCTTTCGTGGTCAACTTGCGGGCCCTCGCCGGGCCTCGGGACCGTGAACAAAACCGGTCCAGGGAGCGGGTCTGGACTCCTGGGCACCCCGTGCTGAAAAACATCAGGACATCGCACGTCTGGGTTCGGGAGTTTCGGGCTCGAGGCTCGAGGTGCTCGTGCGATTTCGTCAGTTCTCGGCTGTTTCCCCGCCTCGGGATGCGCTCCAGCGGCTGCGCCTCGCCGAGAGCGTTCCGGACGGCCGCGGGAGGCCCGAGTTCTGATCCGAAAACACCAGGCCTGGCTCGGGATCCGCAGCATTTTCTGGGCAATTTGAGCGGCAATTCCCGCCCGAATTACTTTTCAAGCTCCTCACATGTCGATCTCCACCCTAGCTTGCAGTCGCTGTTTCCGCCATACCCTGACGGAACTTTCCGCCCTGATTTTCTGAGTCGGGAAGTCAACTCAAGCACAGCAGATCCGAAGTCAGGGGCACCACGAGGCGCTAGGGTGGTCAACAGGTCACCCACTCCCTCCTGGAAGTCGAGGATCAAGGCGGAGGGGGGCATCGAGGATCGGGGGGGCTGTGGGCGCTTTGGGCCGTCTCTGGGGGTCCTGGGGGGTCCTGGGTGCCCTGTCTCCTCGAGGAGTTGGCGATCCCCCTCGCGGTGACTCCCTCGTCAGCGTCCAGCCCGGGGGGAAGTGAGAAGGGGCGGGCCTTCCCAGGAGGCTCGGCAGTCCCCGGCCTTTTGAGAAGTTCTCTATAGGCCTTTCCCGAAGACGCCGAAAACTGCTCAGAAGGCGCGAGGGCTTCGGAGAAGTCCTGCCTCCTTCTGAGAAGGTCCCTAAGGGCTTGTCGACTTTTCGCCAAGCGACTTGTGGGGACCGAGCCAGGTAAATCACGTAAATGCAGGTACGTCAAGGTCAATCCAGGTAAATCCCGTCAAATCGAGATAAATCCGGGTAAATCCAGGTACGTCCAGAGACCTCCAGGGAAAAAGTTGGAGCCATTCGCGGCCGCTCCAGCGCGGGTCCAAGGACGGCAGAAGTCGTCAAGCCTTTAACGAGAAGGCCTCCTCCTCACTGATGGGCTTGTTTTCGACCGCCACCACCACCACCACCATAAGCTGGAGGGGGGAAGGAGGGGGAGGATGTGGAGGAGGAAGAAGAAGAAGAAGAAGAAGAAGAAGGGGGGGAGGAGGACACCCTCCCCCCTCCAACTCGTGGTGTTGGTGGTGGAAAGCAGGCCCATCACTCACTTCTCCCCCCTCGCTCGTCGCCGACCTTGGCATTGATCGGCAGGAGCACGAGTACCTCCGGGCCTACCGGCCCAGGGAGGCGCCGGTGCCTCCGGAGCCCTTCGACTGGTCGTTCGACGGCTTCCACCCCACCGCGCGGGCGGTGCGGGAGCGGCTCTACCGCGAGTGCGCGCGCTACCACCCCGAGGTTCCCTTTCTCTCTCCCTCCCTCCCTCGCTCCCTCGCTCCCTCCCTCCTCCTCCTCCTCCTCGTCCTCCTCCTCCTTCTCCTCCTCCTCCTCCTCCTCCTCCTCCTCCTCCTCCTCCTCCTCCTCCCCACCATCGAGCCTCCTCCCTCCTCCTCCACCACCATCGAGCTCCACCCCTCCTCCTCCTCCTCCTCCTCCTCCTCCTCCTCCTCCTCCTCCTCCTCCTCCTCCTCCTCCTCCTCCTCCTCCTCCTCCTCCTCCTCCTCCTCTCCTCCTCCCCTCATCCTGCCTCCTCCTCCTCCTCCTCCTCCCTCCTCCTCCTCCTCTTCCTCCTCATCCTCCTCCTCCTCCTCCTCCTCTTCCTCCTCACCATCGAGCCCCCTCCTCCTCCTCCTCCTCCTCCTCCTCCTCCCCTCCTCCTCTCCTCCTCCTCACCACAAGCCACCACCATCGATCCTCCTCCTCCTCCACCACCACCTCCACCTCCACCTTCTCCTCTTCCTCCTCCCCCTCCTCCTTCTCCTTCTTCTCCTGCCGCTCCTCATCCTCTTCCTCCTCCACCTCCTCATCCTGCTCATGTTTCTCCCCCTTCTCATCGGTTCCTTGGGACACACCTCCTAGCTGGTCAGTGTACGAGGTGATCGTCGCCCTCCCAACTTCTCCGCCGTCCGGCTTGGGCTTCCCTTCATCCTTTTGCTTTCTTTCCCTCTCGGCCGGTCCCGCTGGCTGCGCTGCTCACTCTGGCCCTGCCTCCAGGCCAGGGGCCCTTGCCTCTGCAGCCTGGCCTTGGCCGGCAGGCTGCACGTCACTGACCAATACGTTGCTCTGACACACGTAGTCTGCATCCCGCACCAGACCAGATGTCGACGAGTCTCTCTGCACCGTTCGACACCTTCCCAGTGAAGCTGCCAGTGCCATTTGTATGTAATCTCCCGCGCGGGCTCACGGCTAGCAGCTTGCACCCAGCATCCAGAGTTTCCACGCAGAGTCGGCACGGCAGCTCTCTTTGTGATCAGACGGCAGCACACAAGATGATAGATTAATCATGCATGGCCGCGAGAAGTGGTGGACTTGGAGAAACATGTTCATGCTCTTCCATCCCCTCCTCTCCCTTGTCAAGGCCCATCGGAGGTCCCCACGACCTTCAGCGCGCAGAAAACCCGCACGATGCTTCTCTGCAGAGCGTGCTCGGGCAACTTGGGCGCGATTCGTCAGTGAGTATGTCCTCATCGTTCTCGTTCGTCTCCTTCTCCTCCTCCTCCTCATTCCCCCCCCAATCCTCCCCAAACCTCTCCCGCCGCCCCCTCACCCCTCCCAGCAGCTGCGGCTCGCCGGAGCGGCGGGCGGTTCATGTGTACAGCCGCCGCACCTCCCTCAGCTGCGGTGGGTCTTCCGCCTTTGCCGGGCGCCCCAGGGGTGCTTGCCCCATCCAGGTGGGGTCATGGGCCGCTGATGTCATCCCTCCCCCTCCCCTCCTCCTCCTCCTCCTCCTCCTCCTCCTCCTCCTCCTCCTCCTCCTCCTCATCCTCCTCGTCTTCCTCTTTCTCCTCCTCCTCCTCGTCCTGCATCTTATTTCCTTATGTATAATTATTCCCGGTCGCACCCCGAGACGGGTTGGTAGGGCAGGCCGGCCGTTTCGCTTCGTTGCAAGAGTTTCACGGATGCAGGGCGGGCTGATTTCCACCGCCGCGCACATTCATTTTTAGGTTACAAGAATTTTAACGGATGGAGGGCGGGCCGTTTTCGAATTGTTGCCTTCGCCTGAGCGCCGCGCGCGCGGCTGCTTTTCAGAATGTGGTTCTCGCCTTCGTGCCGCGTTCATTCGTCTGAACTGATTGATCACAGCAGGTTCCAGGATTCTTGTCGTTGACGTTCCAGACATGGTGTGTTGGCACGGTTTAGGATTGTCGGGATGCGACAGTCACGTTGATGTGCGGCGTTGCAGTCCCAGGAAGGGTGTTCTGGCACGAAATGCCAGGAATGGTGCTATGGCATGGTTGCAGATCTTCAGACGGTTGTCATCCAATGGGGCATTTCCCGTCGTGAAAATACATCTTTGTGGGGACCTATCTGAAGAGGGAACTTCGAGGAAGGGCTTATTGCAACATCATGGATGAGTCTCGGGTTGGCACTGGTCCTACTCCTCCTCCTCCTCCTCCTCCTCCTCCTCCTCCTCCTCCTCCTCCTCCTCCTCCTCCTCCTCCGCCTCCTCCTCCTCCTCCTCCTCCTCCTCCTCCTCCTCCTCCTCCTCCTCCTCCCTCTCTCTCGTCCTCCTCCCCCCTGCTCCCTCCTCTCTCCTCCCTCTCCCCCCTCCTCCTCCTCCTTCTCCTCCGTCCCGTCCTCCTCCTCCTCCTCCTCCTCCTCCTCCTCCTCCTCCTCCTTCTCCTCCTCCTCCTCCGCCGTCCTCCTCCCTTCCCCCCCTCCCCCGCCCCCGCTCTCCCTGAGATCCTGGAGCGCGACGGCATCTCGGCGGGCCCGCCCAACCGCCCCCCGGCCGGCGCCGCCGACCCCGCGCGTGCGGCGCAGCCCAGCCGCCCCGCGTCGCGCGTGGCGCCCGGCGAGACGACGCCGCCGCGGCCGCTGCCGGCCGTCGGCGGCGTCGTGGACCCGAAGCGCCGCGTGGCGGGCGGCGCCGTGCCGATCATCCGGGGCATGGGCGGCCAGTGAGGCTCCGCGTCCTTGATCCTGCTCCCCCTCGTCCTTCGAAGAGGGGCTCCGCGCGGACTTCTTGGCTGGAGCCCCCTGGCGGCGCCTCCGGCGCCGCTCCTGGCGCGCTCCGTGCGCCAGGGACACGGGTCCAGCGCGAATCCAAGAAGTCCTCGCGGACCCTCGAGTTGTTCTGTGTACCCAGACGTCCGGCTTGGAAGCGCCCCCCCTGCCCCCTGCCTTTTTGGAAGCGCCTATGTGGCCGAACGTTGAGGCCAGACCTGCCAAGCCATCGGACCATGTGTTCCCCGAGTCGGTTTGGAAAGCCTTCGGGGAACACGTGGGCATCTTGAAGGTCATCTTGGCCGTCTTGGAGGCCTCTTGGGCGATCTTTCGGCGATCTCTGGGGGCTCTTGGGCCGTCTCGGGCCGTCGGAAGGCCGAAAAGAAGGAAATGTCAAAATCCGTCAAAAAACCTTTAGGAAAATAATGTTTTTGGCCTCTTCTGGCCTTCCTGGAGGCCCTCTTGGGGGCCTCTTGGGCCCTTTTGGGCCAGCTTCGAGCCAACTTCGGCCATCTGGGTGGGTTCCTGGCACGTATGACGCCGTCGGGAGCCGTCTGGGGGGCCTTTCTGGGCCAACGGGGGGCCCTCTTGGGGCTTCGGGGCCATCTTGGAGGCCATCTTGGGCGTCTTGGAGGCCATCTTGGGCGTCTTGGAGGCCATCTTGGGCGTGTTGGAGGCCTCTTGGGCCGTCTTGGGGCCCTCTTGGGGCCATCTTGGAGGCCACTTGGGCCGTCATGGGGCCCTCTTGGGGGCCTCTTGGGCGATCTTGGGGGCCTCTTGGGCCGCCTTGAGCCGTCGGAAAGCCGAGAAGAAGCAAATTCCAAAATCCTTCAAAAACCTAAGACAAATCGATGGTTTCGGCCTCTGCGGGCCCTCCTGGAGGACCTCTTGGAGGCCTCTTGGGCCGTCTGGGAGGCCTCTGGGGGGCCTTTTGGGCAGTCTTGGGCCGTCTTGGACTCTCTTGGGCCGTCTTGGAGGCCGTCTTGGACCATCTTGGGCGGACTTGGAGGCCATCTTGGGCCATCTTCGCGATTTGTTGAGGATGTCCCGGGCGAAACGGCCGTTTCAGGGAGGACTTGTTCCGGAGTTTGCGTTCCTGGAAGGGCCTCCCGGGACCCCGGCGGGACGGGCCGAAACCCACTGGGAGAGTTCTTTTGGAAAAAGAACCAAAACCAAAACCGAGAGGTCTAGCACGCCAGGCACCCTTGCGATGAATCGACAGGGGGCGGCGAATCGAACACACCTACGGCGAATCACCGCCGCCCCCTGCCTTTGTGGAAGCGCCTATGTGACCGAACGTTGAGTCCAGACCTGCCAAGCCATCGGACCATGTGTTCCCCGAATTGGTTTGGAAAGCCTTCGTGGACCACGTGGGCATCTTGAAGGTCATCTTGGCCGTCTTGGAGGCCCCTTGGGCAAGCTTTCGGCGATCTTTGGAGGCTCTTGGGCCGTCTCGGGCCGTCGGAAGGCCGAAAAGAAGCAAATGCCAAAATCCGTCAGAAACCTAAGGAAAATCAATGTTTTTGGCCTCTTCTGGCCTTCCTGGAGGCCCTCTTGGGGGCCTCTTGGGCCGTCTTGGGCCAGCTTCGAGCCAACTTCGGCCATCTTGGTGGGTTCCTGGCACGTCTGACGCCGTCGGAAGCCGTTTGGGGGCCTCCATGGGCCGACTTGGGGCCCTCTTGGAATGCTCCAGGGCCGTCTTGGAGGCCATCTTGGGCGTCTTGGAGGCCATCGTGGGCGGTTGGAGGCCTCTTGGGCCGTCTTGGGGCCCTCTTGGGGCCATCTTGGAGGCCACTTGGGCCGTCATGGGGCCCTCTTGGGGGCCTCTTGGGCGATCTTGGGGGCCTCTTGGGCCGTCTTGAGCCGTCGGAAAGCCGAAAAGGCGCAAATGCCAAAATCTGTCAAACACCTACTTGGGCCGTCTGGGAGGCCTCTGTGGGGCCTCTTGGGCCGTCTTGGGCCGTCTTGGATTCTCTTGGGCCGTCTGGGAGGCCGTCTTGGACCATCTTGGGCGGACTTGGAGGCCATCTGGGGCCGTCTTGGAGGTCATCCTGGCCGTCTTGTGTGGCCGAACGTTGAGGCCAGACCTGCCAAGCCATCGGACCATGTGTTCCCCGAATCGGTTTGGAAAGCCTTCGGGGAACACGTGGGCGTCTTGAAGGTCATCTTGGCCGTCTTGGAGGCCTCTTGGGCGATCTTTCGGCGATCTCTGGGGGCTCTTGGGCCGTCTCGGGCCGTCGGAAGGCCGAAAAGAAGGAACGGTCAAAATCCGTCAAAAACCTAAGGAACAACAATGTTTTTGGCCTCTTCTGGCCTTCCTGGAGGCCCTCTTGGGGGCCTCTTGGGCCCTTTTGGGCCAGCTTCGAGCCAACTTCGGCCATCTGGGTGGGTTCCTGGCACGTATGACGCCGTCGGGAGCCGTCTGGGGGGCCTTTCTGGGCCAACGGGGGACCCTCTTGGGGCGCTTCGGGGCCGTCTTGGAGGCCATCTTGGGCGTCTTGGAGGCCATCGTGGGCGTCTTGGAGGCCTCTTGGGCCGTCTTGGGGCCCTCTTGGGGCCATCTTGCAGGCCATTTGGGCCGTCATGGGGCCCTCTTGGGGGCCTCTTGGGCGATCTTGGGGGCCTCTTGGGGCGTCTGGAGCCGTCGGAATGCCGAGAAGAAGCACATTCCAAAATCCTTCAAAAACCCAAGGAAAATCAATGATTTTGGCCTCTTGGGGCCCTCCTGGAGGACCTCTTGGAGGCCTCTTGGGCCGTCTGGGAGGCCTCTTGGGGGCCTCTTGGCCCGTCTGGGGCCTTCTTGCACTCTCTTGGGCCGTCTTGGAGGCCGCCTTGGACCATCTTGGGCGGACTTGGAGTCCATCTTGGACCATCTTGGAGGCCATATTGGGCCATCTTGGAGGCCATCTTGGAGCCGTCTGGGCAGAAAAATGTGGCCGTGGAAAAAATCCCAGCACCCCGGCGGGACGGGCCGAAACCCACTGGGAGAGTTCTTTTGGAAAAAGAACCAAAACCAAAACCGATAGGGTCTGGCACGCCGGGCACCCCTTTGCTGAAGCGACAGGGGGCGGCGGATCGAAGACGCCTACGGCGAATCACCGCCGCCCCCTGCCTTTGTGGAAGCGCCTATGTGGCCGAACGTTGAGGCCAGACCTGCCAAGCCATCGGACCATGTGTTCCCCGAATCGGTTTGGAAAGCCTTCGGGGAACACGTGGGCGTCTTGATGGTCATCGTCGCCGTCTTGGAGGCCTCTTGGGCGATCTTTCGGCGATCTTTGGGGGCTCTTGGGCCGTCTCGGGCCGTCGGAAGGCCGAAAAAAGGGAAATGCCCAAATCCATCAAAAACCTTGGGAAAATCAGTGATTTTGGCATCTTTTGGCCTTCCTGGAGGCCCTCTTGGGGGCCTCTTGGGCCCTTTTGGGCCAGCTTCGAGCCAACTTCGGCCATCTTGGTGGGTTCCTGGCACGTCTGACGCCGTCGGGAGCCGTTTTGGGGGCCTTTCTGGGCCAACGGGGGACCCTCTTGGGGCGCTCCAGGGCCGTCTTGGAGGCCATCTTGGGCGTCTTGGAGGCCATCTTGGGCGTGTTGGAGGCCTCTTGGGCCGTCTTGGGGCCCTCTAGGGGCCATCTTGGAGGCCACTTGGGCCATCAGGGGGCTCTCTTGGGGGCCTCTTGGGCGATCTTGGGGGCTTCTTGGGCCGTCTTGAGCCGTCGGAGAGCCGAAAAGGCGCAAATGCCAAAATCCTTCAAAAACCAAGGAAAATCAATGATTTTGGCCTCTTCGGACTCTCCTGGAGGACCTCTTGGAGGCCTCTTGGGCCGTCTGGGAGGCCTCTGGGGGGCCTCTTGGGCCGTCTTGGGCCGTCTTGGACTCTCTTGGGCCGTTTTGGAGGCCGTCTTGGACCATCTCGGGCGGACTTGGAGGCCATCTTGGGCCATCTTCGCGATTTTGTTGAGGATGTCCCGAGCGAAACGGCCGTTTTTGGAGGATTTTTTCCGGTCGTTGAGCACCCTTCCGGGTGGCCGGCGGGTTCTGCCGGAGCCCACTGGGGAGTTCTTTTGGGAAAAGAACCAAAACCAAAACCTGAAACATCCAGCACGCCGTGCACCCCTGCAAGCAGGGGGCGGCGGATCGAAGACGCCTACGGCGAATCACCGCCGCCCCTTGCCTTTGTGGAAGCGCCTATGTGGCCGAACGTTGAGGCCAGACCTGCCAAGCCATCGGACCATGTGTTCCCCGAATCGGTTTGGAAAGCCTTCGGGGAACACGTGGGCGTCTTGATGGTCATCGTCGCCGTCTTGGAGGCCTCTTGGGCGATCTTTCGGCGATCTTTGGGGGCTCTTGGGCCGTCTCGGGCCGTCGGAAGGCCGAAAGAAGGGAAATGCCCAAATCCATCAAAAACCTTGGGAAAATCAGTGATTTTGACATCTTTTGGCCTTCCTGGAGGCCCTCTTGGGGGCCTCTTGGGCCCTTTTGGGCCAGCTTCGAGCCAACTTCGGCCATCTTGGTGGGTTCCTGGCACGTCTGACGCCGTCGGGAGCCGTTTTGGGGGCCTTTCTGGGCCAACGGGGGACCCTCTTGGGGCGCTCCAGGGCCGTCTTGGAGGCCATCTTGGGCGTCTTGGAGGCCATCTTGGGCGTGTTGGAGGCCTCTTGGGCCGTCTTGGGGCCCTCTAGGGGCCATCTTGGAGGCCACTTGGGCCATCAGGGGGCTCTCTTGGGGGCCTCTTGGGCGATCTTGGGGGCTTCTTGGGCCGTCTTGAGCCGTCGGAGAGCCGAAAAGGCGCAAATGCCAAAATCCTTCAAAAACCAATGGAAAATCAATGATTTTGGCCTCTTCGGACTCTCCTGGAGGACCTCTTGGAGGCCTCTTGGGCCGTCTGGGAGGCCTCTGGGGGGCCTCTTGGGCCGTCTTGGGCCGTCTTGGACTCTCTTGGGCCGTTTTGGAGGCCGTCTTGGACCATCTCGGGCGGACTTGGAGGCCATCTTGGGCCATCTTCGCGATTTTTTGAGGATGTCCCGAGCGAAACGGCCGTTTTTGGGCACGGTGGCGGGACGGGCCGGAGCCCACTGGAGAGTTCTTTTGGAAAAAGAACCAAAACCAAAACCTAACAGCTCATCCAGCACGCCGTGCACCCCTGCAAGCAGGGGGCGGCGGATCTAGTGGCCTTCGGCCTATCCCGCCACCGTGCCTGGGTGATGGGTCAGAGGCCTCATGGATGTTGGTTGGGATTCGGGGCCTCTGGGAGGCAGTTTTGAGGCCCCCCCATGCCTCTGGGGCAGTTGCGGGGCTTCTTGTGGCCACTTTGGGGCCACTTTGGGGCCTCTTGGGGGCCTCGTTGGGGCCTCTTGGAGCTTCTTGGGGCCTCGGCCTCTTGGGAGCTTCTTGGGGCGGGAGGGAGGGGTACTCGAGTTCGGGACCCCCTCGGAGGCCACGATCATCGTGAGGCGTGTCAAAAAATGCCCTCCCCAGAGACACGCGGGTCGCCGCGACAAGCCCCAGGAGCACCCCCAGAAAACGCCCCCCCCCCCCCCCCCTCCCTTCCCCGGCAGAGCCCCCCCGGTCCCCCCCAGCAGAGCTGAAGCTCAGGCTGTAGGCTGTAGGCTGCAGCTGAAGCTTTTTCAAACTCACACGCCGCATCGGCGGATCATCCTTGGGGTCGCGCAGCGCAGGGCCCTCGGCCTGTTTTGGGGGCCCGCGGGGCCGTCGGCAGAGGCGCTCGGGAGGCGAAGCTGGTCTTCGGGGGGCGGCCCCAGGGCTTGGGGCGAGTTTCCCTTTTTGGGGGGCGCGTGGGAAGAGGAGGAGGAGGAGGAGGAGGAGGAGGAGGAGGAGGAGGAGGAGGTACCCAGGAGGCCTCAGACCCTGGAGGCTTCCTTATCTCCCGAGGGCGGCGGTGCCATCCGTGGCCACTCACTCCAGGATTGGAGTTTTCCACCGGCTTCCGGGCCCTGGATTCCTTATCCAACGGTTCCCAATCCAATGCCCCCACTGCACAGGGGGGGGGGGAGGGCAGCGAGGGCTGCAGCGAAGGGGCCCCTCGGGGCCCCAGAGGGCCAGAGGGGGCCTGTAGGGCTCGAGAAGCGCACCTTTCTCCCCCCCCCCACTGATCCCCCCCCTCCCCTCATTAAGCGCCGCACAACCATCGGGACCCTTCTTCTTCCTGGTTCCCCGCCTCCCCTCGCCGACGGCCAATGCAGACGCGCCGCTGCCCCTCTCGTGCACGAGCAGCAGCAGTAGTCTTTAATCCAGGGGCCCGCCCCTTGCTCAATTTGTCAGTGGTGCAGCTCTCTTCCGGAGGCTCCAGGCTCACGCCTTCAGTGCCCTCCGCTTGTGCTCCGGTAGGCGGACGACTCGTGGAGGAGGAGGAGTAGATCGGTCCTTGTCAGTTTTTTCGCCAGTCCCGCTGCAGACGTCGCCTCAGCGGAGCGGCAGTTAGGCCCCGTGCCAGTTCCCTCGAGGACATCCGGTTTATGTATCAGTCGTGCCGACAGCCAGGCCCGAATTCGAGTGCTTAGGATGACTGCAAACGTGGCTCTAGACTCTCAGAGAAAGTCATCCCCTCGTCCTTCGCCTCCTCATGTTCATCCTGGTCCCCCTCGCTGAGCCCGCAGGGCGGGAGTCACGGCGGGCCCACATGGGGGAGGCTTGCACGCAGATTTTGCCACGAGCGTGTTGGGGATGCTGCCTCGACGAGGTTCGGTATCGACCGCTGCAATGTTTCTTGGGGCCATGTTGGCGTCCCGTGGGGGGTCGAACGGCCTCTTTTCACATGCCCCAGTGGAGTGTGGAGCAGGAACTGCGTGAGGGGCGTGCCGAAATGGCAGTGTCGTAGCCATGAAGGCGTTGCTCACTTGTATGTATTCTTAAGCGTTCCAGACCAATGCCAGAGAGGAAATGCACTGAACCTATGCTTTCGCGGCCCTACGGGCGCATCTCACTCGTGTTTTGCGTGGCCCAGGAGTTGTCGCGCGCATGGGCCTAGCGCTGGGACCACGTTTCAGTAGTATTCTGACGTGCCCCAGGAGAATTGTCAACATTTGTCATTGAGACTCGGTGTCCCCTCGGAGGCTTATTGGTCGAGGATGTCCCCAGCGAAATGGGCAGTTTTGAAATTCAGAGTCCCCTTCGAAGGCATGCTTGTCCTGACGTTTGAAAAGTAGGCGCTTTGCTGAGTGGGAGCGCGCTCGGTCGAGCTGTCGAGGATGTCCCCAGCGAAACGGCAGTTTTTGAGATTCCGAGTCCCCTCCGAAGCCGATTGGTTGAGGATCATCGGGGCACATTTCACTCGTGTGTTTTTCGCGCCCAGAGAGAATCGTGCTGTGGAGCGCGCGGAGCCGCTCTTCGCATGCCTTTCTGCGTGTTCCTCACCCTCCTCCATTTCACCTCCATATCATCATCTTGTCTCCTACATTTCACCACCACCTCCATCTCATTATCATCTCGTCTCCTCATCATCATCTCCCCACCTCCATTTCACCTACCTACACGGCGAGGGCCCGCGGGGGACCCGCCGAATTGATCGCTTCGCTCATTCCGCCGGCCCTTATCTAATAGCATTCGGTCCATCCCGCCACCGTGCCTGGGCGGTGAGTCTGAGGCCTCTAGGATGTTCGTCGGGATTTCGTCGAGGCCTGTGGCCTTTTCGATGCCCTCGCAGTGCGCAAGGTTGTCCCAGCTGAGGTGGCCTGCGGCGTAGTCCTGGCTGGTGCACTCACACAGCACAGTGGGGCCCTCAAGAAAGGGGCGGCCAATGCCCCCACGCAGACACCTGGAGAAGCCCAGAGGGGTGAGGCGGCGCACGCCCTCGCTGGTGAGAGGCTCGGTGGGGTGGGCGGTGCCGGCGCGGCCGACGGAAAACCCCAGGGCAGCAACGATGGTGACAGTGCAGCCAACCGGTAGACTTTAAGTCGGGCGTGACCTTCTACAGGGGGAAAGTTCAAAAATAGTCGAGGAGTAGTCTGGGGACGATGTTTCTAGCATTTTTGGACTATTTGGGGGCATCTTTTGAGTATTTTGGATTCTTCATCCAAAATCCGCCTGTGGGGGGACATGCCCGACCTAGCGGTAGACGCAGCTCCAGGGCCGACCTGGGCACGTCCCGCGGGAGGAGGTCAAGCAGGCCAACAGGAGCCCAGCCCCACGCATCGAGCTGCGGGTGGCCATGCGGGGCGCATGGATGGATCCAGGACCGTGGGCTTGGCGAGGAGTCGGACGCAGAGGTCGAATGGAACCACTGGTGTGAGCCGCTTGTGGCAGCGAAGCTGCAGCAGGCGCGCATCGATCGGGTCAGAGCCGCCACTGGTCCCACGACCGAGCAGTTGGCGGCCGAGATCTGTGCCCGCGCTTGTCGGCGAGGGGAGCGCAGCCGCCGCAGATCACCGCCGATGGGTCAACTCGCTCAACGAGCGGCAGAGGCGCGCCGTGGCCAGGGTGCGCAATGGTGAGCACGGGGCGCTGAGAAAGTGGATCAACAACCCGCGGCGGCAGGATCCACCGCGCTCAACTTGGCCCCCGCCGCGCAGGCGGGCAGGAGCGACCCAGGACCAGAAAAGGGCAAGGAACGGCAATGGCCAGAGCGGCGCAGCGGAGCAGGGCGATGGGCAGCCGCCGACGCCCGAGGTGCGGTCAGGAGCGCAGCTGCGCCCCCCCTGACGGCCTCCCGCGCGCGCTGCGAAGGCGCCGCCTGCCTCGGGTGGCCACCGCCCAGGCTGGAGATCACCCCAGCGAGCCGCATGGCGAGGGAGCTCAGAAGGCCGGACGGAGACAGATGTCGCACGCCGCGACAGGCCAGGAGCACGGGCGCGACAGCGTTGAGGACCAGGGCGCGGGCAAGGAGAGGAGTGCGCTGTGCGGCGTCGGCGTCGGATGACCACCCCCGCGCGGAGGCGGAAGGGGCAGGGGGCCGCGGTGCGGTCGGAGCGCTGCCCCGCCAGGGCCGACGGCGCCCCTGCGCGACTGGCTGATTCACGGAGGCCGCGACGCCCGCGGCGAAGCGCGGGCGCCCGGCTCCTGACGGAGAGGCGCCCGACCTTGCGAAGGGCGCTGCAGCGGCGGGGGACGGAGAGCTAGAGCGCACAGGAGCCCTCGAAGTTGTCGTGGGATCGTGGCACGGAAGCACAGCAGGAGGTAGCGAGGCTGGCGGGGGCTTCAGTGACGCTGGCGGCGCAGTGGACTTGCGCCCGGCGAAGGGCAGCGGCGTGCAGCATTTCTCGGGGAACGGCGTGGGTGCAGCGAGCGCGGTGATTCAATGGTCAACGGCTCCTGCGACGAGTCTGCAGCCCGACCTTGGCTGTCCTGCGAAGGCTGAGACGGCGGGCAGGACGG